TAAAGTTATAAAAGAATGACCTTTCAAAATGTTACCCTGTTCACAATGAAGTCTCTCGCATTGAGTTATAATACAAAAGTTATAATTACACAAATAGAGTAATTACGAACTTATTTATAATGTGCCAATCTAATAAGAACATTAGCAGGACATATAGGAGTTTTAAAGACGTAGAGAACGTCGCATTCAATTAGAAGAATTGAAATGATTTTTATAAATTTCGGATCTACAAGATCAAGAAATCAAGAAAAAGAAATTTATATTGAAGCTTATCCCGTAATAGGTATTCGCAATTTGGCTGCTTTTAATTTTTTTTTAATTATTTTTATGCTAGGATTTACAAAAACCCCGATGCTTTTAATGTAGACTCGTTTCGATGAAATTCATTTGAATTCTTCGAAGCATTTTGTTGTTCATAGAATGCGAAGCATGTATTTCTTGTTAAAATTTCTACCCGCTCTTTGTGAACAGCACAACCTAACAATTTTTTCAGGGTATTTCATACCTAATAGGATTATTATTTTCTGATTCCAAAAATAGGCGAAATAGTTGGAATGAACCTAAAAATAAAAATCTATGTGCGATACCTTTTTGGAAATGACGATGTTGTTAATATTACGTAAAAATCATGAAAATTAATTTCGAAGACGGTAAGGGAAACGTGAACAAAACTAGGGTAGTTTCTTTCCTAGAATTCCAAACTGCTTAAGAACCTGGAAAATTATTTTTTATTTAACTAACCTGAAACCTGAACGAAATTTCCTTCATTTCTTCAATATCATCAAAAAATGCGGAAACATTATACAATTTAAAAAATATATCCGTTGGATAGTAAGCCAGATACTTATAGTAGATCATACACTATGCGCCACCCGGTATAAAAATAACAATCATTTTTTACTCATGTGACTAATTACTTTTGGAAATTTTCCAAAAATCAAAATAATTATTTATTTAACAGATTGCTGACAGAGAATGAGTAATAATTTGGTCTTGCAATTAACTTAAGATGTAAGCATTAGTCAAAAGCAAAAGAGCCCTCTAAGTGGGTTAAGCTTACCAAACCAACATTTATCATCACATTTATAGTATAACAGAATAAAGTTTTGCTCACAACGCGGGTTTAACAGTAGGTATTATGCTCGCGGAGCCCGCTTGACTTGTAGATATACTTAATTATTATTATAATTGGGAACCATACTGTGGTCGTGGGGAAACAGTATGACTGTAACTTAATAATATCTTATCCGTTAATATCGGTTAATATTAAAGAATAACAATATCGTATTTTATTTAAATTACCTATAGAAAATAAACGGATAAAATAGCATTTTTGGAATGTATTGAGTGGTCCAAATTTTAAATCGGCACCTCAAAAAATTTCAGCATTATTTAGTGTTCCCGCTTTTTATTCTGTCGATTGTAAAGACATTCTAATAAAGTCCTCCACGTCCTGCATCATTATTTTTCTGTACTACCTGGAGTTTATGTTTGTGCATTTGGAATAATGAAGGTTATGCTTATACTGTTTATTAAATTTCTATTGAAAAATGTTTTACTATAGGTTACTGATAAATTTTTGTATATTTGAACTATTGTCTGATTCGGGTCCAAAGGCCGTCGTCGGTTGGAAGCGCCCCCCAATGGAGATGAAGCGAACTCTGCAGAAGCTTGCCACTAGTGCTGGAGATGCGTTGAGATGAGGCTCCATCAGACGACGACCTTTGAATCCAAACCAAGATAACAATATTGAATATATGTTTAAATAAAAGATGTCCAGAAGATTTGTTAAATTAAAGGTTTTAGATATGTGTTGTATGAACACTTGACGAACAGTTTTATAAAGCTACGTTATTTTAATAAACAATAAATATTTACGGTGTGGTGATATAATATAAGTCCACAACGGCAAGTGCAGTAAAAAACCAACAAACAAAAATATTGTCTTTGTTGCTATAAAAATTTTGCATTTCAGGGTATGCTGTTTGTGGTAATGCTCTGCTGCGATCTCGTAGTTAATGAATCCAAAAAAATTCTCGTAACTTGTATGAACTACCTGGAAACGATTCCTATCAATTCTGAAGAACACTGTGAAATAACAAATATCTGCGCAACACTCGAACTGAGGCCAGTTTCATTCACTGCCTCAAAATACTTCGAGATTAACAGATCTACGGTCTTCACTCTAATCAGCAAAACTTTGATTTACTTCACTGCGATTATACAGTTTATAGAACCGACGAACAAGATAAGTTAAGCGACAGCGAGGACGAATCAAGCAATTCTGAAGAAGAATAAAGGAGATATTTTGTAATAAGACTAAAGTAAAATACATGTTACGCATTGATGTGTGTATGTGCGCGTGTATAATATATTTTCCTTGAAATATAATATTCAAACGTTTTCTAGAAAAAATAAATTCATTATCACAATATCAAAACGGATTTAGATCAAGTTTTTCCACTGACTCAGGTCTTATGTCGGCAATAAGGAGCATACATAAAGCATTGAATCATAAAAATATGGCATTAAGCCTTTCATTTGACATGACACACGCCTTTGACGCTGTCGACTTCGATCTGCTGCTAAAAAAATTAACCTGTATTGGAGTGAGAAGACGAGCGATAAACTGGATAGACTCATATTTACGTAATCGCAACGAAGTTAGATCCAGCATTCTAAGAATATCGAGAGGAACTCTTTAGGGATCTTGTCTACCTCCAACACTCTTCAATATTAATATTAATGACCTGCCAGACTTTCTGGTAAATCTGGGCGATCCAGTAATGTACGCCGACAACAGCAATATCATAATTAGCGCTAAAAACACTAAAGAATTAGCCCCTAAGAGTAGCGCTGCGGTGGATATCATGTAACCGTGGTGCAGATCAAACGGGATACATTTATATACAAGCAAATGAAACGCAGTATAATTTGGAACAAAAAACCGGTCTATCGATTACAGTATCGTAATAAAAACAACACTTTTAGGACTGCATTTTAATCAAAAGCTGATAATATTCTATCGAAAATGAGCCCTTATTGTTACATAATAGAAATTATAAGACACAGCGTATCTGTTAGAGTGTTAAGGTTGTTCAATCAGCAAAGTCCTACGATTTAATTTTCTGGGGACAAGCATATAGCGCATATTAAGTTTTCATCGCACAAAAAAGGATGATCAGAGCAATAGCAAATGTTGACGCTGACGTATCTTTAAGTGTACTGCCTTATTATACACACTAAAAAAATGAGCCCGAATTGTTACAGGGCAATACCCGAACAAAAACTGAAATTAAGCCACATTTTCATAGGCTACCAATTTGTCAACAAAACCCGGATGACATTGCTATTAAATGTTTCCGGGATATCATCCGTTCGCTTGTTGAACTCCGACTGGAATCCTGCAGACGTTTCGCCAAAATCCCACTTGGCATCTTCAATGCTCGCGCTCCGAAAACACTTCGAACATTATATATATATATATATATATATATATATATATATATATATATATATATATATATATATATATATATATATATATATATATATATATATATATATATATATATAGCAATATAAAATTTTGAAAGTATAAATGAATCCAAACAACTTTTGTGTTAAAGTTTAATTTTTATTTTTTTAGGGTTGGAATAATACAAAAATTATAGTAAACGAAAAAATATGAAAGCATAAAAATTACCTTTTCAATGCCCTGCATATTATTCGATATTTCAGTTTTTTTCTCAAAATTCTGCAAATATTTTGTAACATCAAATACCAAATATTAACCGTTTCAAAGATACACCGAATATTTAAAAAAATATTTTTAGTCTTCTTTTTAACTGTGTAGCCTTTATCTCATTTAATATTGGCCTTTCGAATTCACTAAGGTCATATAATAACAATTTTATTGACAAGTTCGAAAGCTTGATAAAGTTTACTTAATTTCAAAGGAAACGATCCTAAAGGTTTTTATATATATTTTCTTTTCGATACTTTTTTTATGAGATTAGACAATATTGAAAGGAATTCAAATATTGAATAAAATACAGGGTTTCCGTATAAAAAAAGTGAATGTGTGTTCCCCTTTTTTTAGGGAAAACCTATATAATTTGTTCTCTATTATTTCGATTCATTTTTTAAAACCCTACATTGTTTGTCTTTAGGATTTTTATTGCTTTGGCCGATAATCAACAATTTGCACCACGTATGTAGGTATAGAATGAATGTTTGATTTTGTTATTTTTTATAAAAACATCCATATTTCGCATTTGCTTTAATTGATATTTGATTAGCATTGTTCAAAACCAGGTGTTCAAAATGTCGTGTTCTTTAAAAACTCTACTTTCAGTAAAATATTTGCTAATCCATATGTTGCCGTAATTTTAAAACGTCAGCTGGGTTATGCATAGTGGTGGGTTTCTTGTGGACTGTATTTTTCGAAAACTTTATTTCTAACTTTTACAACTTAAAAAGAAGGGAGAAACATATGAAGATGAATAATAAAGCTAGCGAACACATCACCCGCGTCACTCAGCGATTACATTCGTGTTGTTTTGCAGAACTGAGACGGCCCTTGAAATAGTGTAGAATGGTATATGTTTACCTTTGTTAAAATTTGGAACCTGACATAAAAGAATAGTTCAAAAGAGCAACTGAAATTTTCAAAAAATGATGATTTGATGAATGATGATTAAAGAATGAAAGAAAAGGATTATTAGTTTAGTTTATGGGGTCGTGGCAATGCTATTGAGTTATAAACTCCTTAACACTTGTGTTGCTAGTTGCAACAAACAAGGGAACATTTTGACATGTTTTTTATTTCAATGCTCTGCCTATCTTAGTACCCTTGCCTAAACAGAGAGAATTGTTAACAAATTCTTATTTATATTATTACTTTATCCACACACCCTTGCAAGATAACAAAAGTCATTAATTGAGTGTTTAAGAGCACTGGGCAGAATTACATATTAGGAAAATATAATAAAAGACAATACCATACATGTATTTATTTTAACATTTCCTTTTTGCAATACATATTAAGTATTCCAGGTAACAAAGTCACTCTTATAGGTTTGACCTCATAATCTTCATTGTCAATAGAAAACCACAATTCATTACCACTTTTTGCAACATTACTTGGATCAATTTCAATCGTTCTTGCCTCTATAGCTTCACAAATATTTCTAGTTTCTCCCAATTCTGATTTCCATCCTTGCTTCACAAATTCCAAATAGTCCACCTTCTCTGGACCAATGTTAACTTGTAACTTAGGAACTTCTGTACCTTTTATTTGGCTTGGAATAACATTCGAAGTAAACACTGTCAAGTCAGTTGTGGATATAGCTTTCTCTATTTTTTGAAGACACTGCGGATTGTGTATTTGTTTAAATTTTAGTTCATTTTCATCCTCTTTCATGTATCTATCTAAAGGAGTTAAGCAAGTCAAAAAAAAATCAAAGACTTAGCCATACCTCTGAAACCACTTTGACTTTAACTGTGACATTTGAATTCTATGACAATTTGAACATCCAGTACAAGGAGGACTAAACAAAAGCTGTGCTTGACATTCCCATGTCAAACTGCTTTTAAGCCTAAAGGCACAATCCAAAAATAAACACTTCAATCATTAGACAATATTGCTTACCCACTAAATAAATAGGTGGCATATTTTTTGAGCCCACCAAAATACCAATATCTCTCCTTTTTCATTTCAGCATCTCTGTATGCACCCCACTTTATTTCTGCTACAGCATAAACCGGCTTCTTGTTTTCCTCTTCATTTAATATTTCAATCTTCATAACATCCATAGGCTTCATAGTCTCTTCTATGACAGCCATTGTTGCATCTGCCAAGGATTTGATTTTACCTATTTTTTTTTCACCAGGAAATAAGGACCGACCAACTGTGTTATGCAGTCCCAAGGGTAGAACACCTTAACAGAAAAATGAAACTACCTATTATAAAGACTTAGTTACTTGAAATAAGAACTGATATATGACTTACCTAATGGAATTAAAGTTTTAGAATTTTCATTTGTTCTCCTTAATAATCCTGTGACAACTTCTGAAAGGGTACCATCACCCCCTGCAACAACAATTGAATCTACAGTGCCTAAAGTTTCCATAAGATTTTTGGCATGCCCTTCAGATTCAGTTTTAATAACTTCAACGCTTAGGCCAGCCAAATTAAGCAAGGGAGCGCAAAATTTTTCAAATTCCGTTGCAGCTTTACGTTTGTTGGCGTTAGGATTTAAAATCACAGTAATACTTCGTGGACTAGCTTGGACAGAAATCGTTCCTTTTCCGTAAAGTGCTGCTTTCTCACAATATGACTTCATAATTTCGTCTGTTCTATACATATTTTTAAATGGTTAAAATGTAAAAATGAATTTACTGAATTACCTACTTTAAATAATTCTTTGTATATGACACGCCCCATGTTATCACCACAACCGCAAATGTAGATTTTTTCCAATTCTCTCTTATTATTTTAAATGATCTGAAGATGGACATGTTTTAGTTAATATAAATCAAATTAAATCCACGACCACACAAAAACTTCTATTTGGGAATGTTGTAACAACCAACCAATTTCGATAAAATGTCTTCTTCTTTTTAAAAATCAAAACATAGTAACTTGTCCATGATCAAACAAAAATTTCCATTTGGGTGTCATTTCAAAAACGACAACAAAAACATTTTTTGACGTATGCAAATGTAGCACATTTGTAAATCTTGAATTGAAAAATTTAGAATTTCGAATAGAATAAATTATTTTAACATTCCATACCAATTTTCTGCTACCAAGTAACAATGGAAGGGATAACCCAGAAGTAAAACAAGGTTCTACAACAGTTTTTGTTTAATGTAACAATGAAATTGTTTTTAGATATATTTGCAATCTTAAGTGATTTTGAATATGGAATTAAAGGTTTGGGTTGAAGGTATACAAAGAATTGTATGTGGTGTTTCAGAAACTACTACTTGCCAGGTTTTGGATGCCCTATTTTATAGTTTAGTCAGATATTTAATAGAAAATAATTTGTAGGATGTGGTATTTGCTCTGGCTCACGCTACAGGCAAATCTGGTAGATTTACCCTTATTGAGAGATGGAGAAATAATGAACGACAACTTGCACCCCAGGAAAATCCAATGAAGGTATACAATCAAATTAAATAAAAACTTTTTTAACTTGTATGTTTTAGATTTTACTAAAATGGGGTGAATATTCTAATGATGTGCAATTCATTTTGCAAAGGAATGATGGTAGTAAAACTCCCATTCCAAACAATAAAACCAAACCACTTAATGTTAACCCGGTAACATCCCCAAACTCAAGTGATGTTTCCAAGGAATGTAACAGATCATTTCAGTTCAGGTAAATAGGGCAATCAATTTAAATTATAAAAAATACAGTTTGATTCTCTCAGCGGTTCACATAACCATAACTGTGGTTCTGAAAATGTTGGAGTTGTCAGAGGTGTTCAGCAACAAGTTAGAACAGTACAGTTGGAAGTTCGTGAGCCCTTGTATTGCAATTCAGTAAGCAATTCTCCCAAAAAAGGAAGTTTTTGTGGCTCTGATCATTCATCAGAATCTCCTAGTCATCGGGTGGCGCCTCCCTACAAAGACCCGCCTGCCCCTCCTCCATACAGAGATCCTCCACCTCCTACCTCAAATATTAACCAAGACAAATTCAAGAAAAATATATTTCAGGTAAAATGCAGAATTATTCAGACCTCTGGTATTCCAGGTAGTTAATTTTAGGATACAACCAGGCTCCAGAAAGATTGGCATGATAACAGAAACAAGTCTCCAGAAAATGGCATTTATTCTGCCCAATATCGAGAATTGATCTCTCTAATTAACTATCAAAGAGAAAAATTAAACAATCAACATACAGATCTTACCAAAGTAAGTTAATATATCTAAAGTTTCGTCGAAAAATTGGATCTTAAATGTGATTACAATTTTTGGGAATATCTATATTTTAGTATGATGCAGAAATTGTGTACTGGGAAAGTAAAGAAAAGGAAAAACAACATCAACTAGAATTGTTAACTCAGGAATATATAAAAATTTCAAATGTCACAAAAACCAATCAAGAACAAGTAAGACATGTATTTTATTGGTAATTGATATTGATTAATAAACTCAAAATAGTATAAAAAAATATTGGTAACAAAACTAACAATGATAGCAATGTTTTTAAATTAACTTTGTATTTTTAATAATAATGATAAATATCAAACATGAAATTTTTTAGATTCAGGCTTTGTCCTATGTTGAGGAAGAAGGAGAAATAGCAAAACAGCAAGAAAAAACTCTTAAATCGGAGTTAACTCTTTTAAGGTCTAAGTTGGCTAACTGTGAAACAGAATTGTTGCAGTGCAAAAATAAAATTAGGTTTGTGTATAAAGTAATTTTTGGAATAGGGTTAAAATTATTTTGTTAAGGTTACTTATGGATGAGTTACACTTAGAACAGAGGATGCAAAGCAAAAAATCTGAATCCCGGAAACAGGTAGAAAGGAGTCTGCTGCTTGAGATGGAGAGATTACAAAAAGACGTTGAACTGGCAAAACAAAGTGCTGATCTGCATCATTTGACAGCAGAAACACTTAAGAAGGAGGTATACCAATTGACAAACAAATTTAAAATAAGTTTTACAAGTTGAACTGTCATAGGTGGGAGCCCTGGAAATTGCCATAATAGAAAAAAAGAAGCAAGTAGAACAGTTAGTAACTGAAATGAAAGAGGCCAATTTACAAAGTCTGAGTATTTCTCCACCTGAAGATATCCGGCAAATAATAGAGGGACCAACAAAAGCTGGGACCACCCGGAAAATGATTGGGTCTCCAAGACAACTCGAAAATGCTGTACCAACAAGTAAAAACCCGCATGGGGTGTGGGTATAGGTATTTTAGCTCCATTAAATGGTTTATCTGAAGTTTACTACATACACTGTTTTTTGTGACTGACTTCCTAAGTAACATTTCAGCTTAATGTTATTTTTGCTAAAGTGAACATTACAATTTTTTAGCAATCCTTCATTCTACCCATGTTAAAAGTGAAGAAAGCCTCATACACTGGACAAAAAATAAATAAGTCTAAGAAAAAAAACTACTTGTTGTGCATATTAAGTTGTACTGTGTGGCAAAGGCCTGTAATTTAAGAATACTTTAATTTTCCAAAGTTTATCTGCTAATAATTTATATTGTTGGTATTTCAGTTTTGCCTTACTAATTTTTAGTTAATAATTAATTTAAATTAATAAATATTTTCGCGTGGTGAATAAGAACATCTATTACACTGCAAAATCTAAGAAATCAAAGAAAAGAATAAAAAATAAATTGAGTTCAAATCAATTCCACAACTGAAATTAATAATTGTAGGTGTTGCTGTTCTTTCTCTGCTTTAAGTATTCTGACGGATATCGACAATTTCTTTTCTGAACATGCTTGTGAAAGTACACTGCTTAATCTCCAGTTTGTAGTTTTTTTTATAAATTAATATTTTTCAATAATTTAACAAAATGAAGCTTAAAGTGGTGCATGTTTATAAGTGCAACAGCGGCAGAACCATTTTCGGTCTTCGAATTTGAGTATGAAGTTGTCCATGCCATTATATGTCAGCTTATTGGCTTCCAGCAGGAATAGCCAGAGTTAAAGCAGAAGTTGTATGGAACTGGAACCATATCGAATCACAACTAAACTAATTTTTTCCATAATAATTATAAATTTGCCTTTGTCGTCACAGATAACATCTATGTTTGAATCGGTCATAATTTGCTTTAAATCAAACACATATTATTATGTGTGTATCACATCTTGTTATACTGTTGAATAAGTCTGGTTAATTTTGTTTGGTAGATAATACTAAGCACTCTGCTTAAATCTGGGATAATAGAACATTTGAAATATAGCTGTAATATACACGTGTATTTATAATGATGGCTGTATATGTTACAATTAAAGTGATATAAGAAATTGTATTCTAGGTATGGATAAGTCAACAATTTATCACTTTATTAAATTGATTGTTCGGATATGTGTACAATAGCAAATAAGTAGGAAAAAAATGTGAGTTCAGATGCTGCTGACTTACAACTAGATGTTTTTAATCATAGGTATTGTAATTTCCATAGCCGGGTTTTATTGTAAAAGTGGGCGAAAATTGTAGTATAAACGATCATTTATTTATTGTTAAGTGATTGGATATTTTACACGTGAGTTGAAATGATCTGTTATCTTTAGTTTAAGAGATTTTATACATACACTTTATTTATGCACATTTATTTATATTTATTTGACACTGCCATATTTCACTAAATATCACAGTATGATCATTGTTTTCTTTTATTTTTTTATTGAAATAAATGTTACGTACATCACATTTATTATCAAATATTTTTGCTATCCATTGCTTCAAAAGTATCTTTTCCATTTTCCAAATTATTTTTTTTTCTCTACTCTGTACTCTAAAATATATATCAGCTTTTGGACAGACCATTTAGGCCCACAGCAGTTTAATTTTCGTCCATTCTATATCTTCTATATTTTGCTATATTTCTCCAATTAATAATCCTCCTCTCTCTTGAATCTTCCTCCACAGCTTCTCTCCATTCTTCTCCTTGGTCTAGCATGCTTCCTCCTCCCCTCTGGTTTTTTCTATGCCACTTCCTTTACTTCTCTATAATTTTCCATCCTGGTGAGGTGCCCTAGCCATTGTAGTCTCCTTACTTGAACAAATGTTTCGATTGGCTTATCTCGAAATAGTTTGTAGAGTTCATTTCCTTCCAAAGATTCGTCTTACTACTTCCCTTTCCTCTATACCTATTTTCTGTTGGTTTTTTTGATTGAGGGTCCAAGTCTCACAACAGTTGGTCGGGCCAGTGTCTTGTACAGTCTAATTTTTGTTGCCCTCGAGATATCCTTTGACATACTCCATAGTGTAATATATCTAATTATGTACTAGATCACTTTAAGAAGTCAGCTTGATTCAATAATGTTTATTTATTTATTTATGGTTTAACCAACTTACAAAACTTTTACATTCATTAAAGGCAAAAAGAGAAAGACAGCAGTATAACAACTAGAAACCAGAACAAAATGTAACAACAACAATTAACAGAATTAAGTGACAAAACTCAAACGGAACACATCAGAACGAAATGAGCGGAGGCTGCCAACAAAAGGATCAAGCTTTAAACAGATGCACGCTTTCGACATTCTAGTAAGGGGTAAATAAACTCCATAATTTGCGCGAGGGTAAAGTATGCGGAACATTGAGTTATCACAGCTTCTGTAATATGCGTTAAATTGTATGCTATGTAAAAGAACTGGACAATAATACCAACAATTCAGCATCTTAAAGAGAAAAACTTAAATCACTCTGAGATCTTCTGGTTGAAAGGCCTTAGCTATAATTCCGTAGTTGATCTGATACCAATTATAGATATTAATATGCGCCTTTGAAGCCAAAGATCCTAAAAATATTTTCTGAATGGCTTCGATGTTATCTATATGGCAGGCATAATATCAAGACCATACCACAGATGCATACTCCAGTCTAGAGCGAATCAAAGAGATATAAACGAGTTTAAGACAATGTACAAAATTTAGTTTAGAATTGAAGCACACACCCAAGTCTTTAGTACTAGTGACGGCCTCGATCTCGATTCCATCAATGCTATACTGGTTGTGAACCATACTCAACGAACGACTAAAGCTAATACTACAGCATTTCTTTACATTGAACGCGAGGCTTAGACCACATGCAAACACCATCCATGTCTCTCTGAAGCAGCAGAGCATCCTCGCGCGATCCAATGCTCCTTCCCTAAACAAAATACCAATGAAACATATAATTATAATATATTACAGTGTTGTAATTTTCTTCTTATCGTTCTTAAATTTTCATTCAATAGTACTGATCATCCGCAAACAAAAGACACTGCGATTCCAAAACTACACTAACAATATCATTTATAAACAAGTTAAGCCACTTCGAGCGCTGTCCAGACTTTATTCATGAATCGAATGGGAATGATCTGATGGTTTTGCGCAGATTTAAAACACATTAGTCACAGTTCTGATCGTCATTTGACACGCAGTTCAATGAGTATATTAGTGCTGTTTTGCAAACATTAATCCAGAACCTAATGGTTGCACAAAAAGCAAAGTATAGTACTTTATTAAATACTCGCAGCGCTCTGCCCTAAACAAGCTGATAACTAATGCGACTTCTAAACATTGTTGTACAATATAATATTAACACAATTTTATTATTGGGAATGTTTGTGTTACAATAGATTTTTTTTTTATGCCAAGATAAGAAAAAAAAGCAGCATTAATGGGGTTTCAATAATACTATATTGTTTGACAAACGTCATGAGTTTGATTTGGAGCGAACTATACTATACTTTTTTTATTTATTTTGTTTATTAGTTCTTGGGTACATTTTGCAAACCATTCAATGAATGACTTGTGAGGCGACCGTCAGAACTGACAAAGTCAAAATGGCATAGCTGAAATCTATCGAAAACATCCAATTGCTATCAAACACTTGACCAGCAGTAATGGAAATGTCTGAAGTTGGTCACAACCGTTGAAGAAGTTTGATCGTAAGGAAACATTTTTTCCACGCTTTATCCATACAAAATTAGGTATTTTAGAGTAGCAGTTGTAACCAAAATTTTAACTGGCCCTTGTCATGCTGATTGTCTAGAAATGAAACCAACACATAAGAAAATGGTCTCATTTGTCTCCTATTTTGGCAATTCTTGTGAGAAATAAAAAAAAATATATCTTTATTTTGCACATCAGTTAAAATATGGTATCCCGTAACTTTTCACACCAAAAATAAATGGAAAAATGTGTAGTTTTCATTCGAACATTAACTTTTGGTTTTCTTTTTTTCTGTAAACACTTGTTTGATTTATAGGTGGAAAGTGAGAAAGGGAACATAAAATTGTAGGTGTATATTTATGGCAAAAACACTTTTACAAACACAAATCAATTTACAATAAATAAAACCCTATGCTTTTTCTTCCTTTTCCTTGTTATATTTTTCAAGTTCTTTCAGAAATTGCGCCTTGGGTTTCATAACATTTGGTCTATCTCCTCTACATTTTGGACAGAACCATTTACCTTTTGGTTTGGTGGTCAAGGTAACGCATGAGAAATGGAACCACTCTATTGGACAAAGATCATTGTCACACATGATCATTTCTCCAAAAGAAATTTGATCACAGAGACAATAAGTTGGTTCATCTGGATCAATGGCAGGTTCCTCTGGTGGTGGAGATTCCTCTTTTTGAGTTTGAACAACTTGTCTTGATTTTCTTTTTTTCTTTTTCCCTAAACAAAATACCAATGAAATAATTATAATATATTACAGTGTTGTAATTTTCTTTTAATCATTCTTAAATTTTCATTCAATATTACTGATAGCTTCGACTCATTTACCTTTACCTGTTTTCTTTTGGTTGGAGCTAGACGTTGGATTTACTACAGACGCTTGGCTTCTCAGCACATGCTCGGCTGGTGCCATCTCATTCTGATGATTTTCTATCCCAGAGAAGTTTTCATTCCTTGATCTCCTAGCTCTTTTGATAGGCCTTTCATTAGTATTGTTTATTGTGCTACTTGGTGTCACATTTGCTATTGGGGGTTGTTCTTTGTTCTCTGTTTGAGGCTGTTCTTCTTTGCCATAATCTTAAAATAATCTTAACATTAAAATCAAAAGGGAGGATAACTTACCTAAAATACCTAAATTTTTAAAATCTTGGTCCAATAATCTGGTTTTCATTTCTATTTTGTCTAAAATTGTTTGTAGTAGACTCATTTTTTCATCGCCCAGTTCTTGGGCTGCTATCAAAGCTTGTTGCATTCGGGCGAAGCTTCTTGCCTTTTTTACTTGATCCTCATTGCTTATACCTTTAAAAATTTCTGTCTGAGTCGTTACTTCCCGAACACGAGCTTTAAAGAAATGAAACGTATTTAATATTCACAATTTAAGGATGAATAACACTGTGCTTACCCAAATAGTACACATCCAATTCACGCATACGAGAAATTAAACGTTGTAGTTCGTCAGGAAAATTTTCCACGCAGTCGAGATAATTTTCAACATAAGTTGCAGAATAAACTGCCTCCACAGATACTTGGTTCAACATTTTTTATTCCGCCATTTACAACTCATTATTTTCAAAACAGTTTCCCTCTAATTTTAAAATAATAGGAGATCGAAAACCACAGATCAATTGAAACAATTTTTAGATATATAAGAAAAAAAGAATTTTGTTCCAAAGAACAAGAATGAAAAATCTTGATTTGCGCATAACTAAGCCAAAGAACAGTAAGTGCTTTTTTTTTGAGTTAATTGACTAGGATATCTCTATATTTCGGCTTGTGCAGAGAAAAATCGAACTAATAATTATTTTTACGGCACCCAAAGCTCTTGGTGGCCTCGAACCCACAAGTGGCTGCAACTGGAGTTGACAGGTGTATGTCTATTGCGTTGCCAACCGAGCTGGTTGTCCTCCAAACAAGCTCCTTGAGTTGTATGGTCAAATAGTTTTCTTCTGCTATGTTTTGCTGGCAATGAAGTTTCCGAGGGAGGCAATACGATTACGGGTTAGCCCAAAGAGAATAAGATAGACTGGAAGGCTCCCATTAGTGGCGATGTTAAAAAGCGTACACGAGTTTCAATGTCTCTGGTGATTGTATTCAGTCATGAAAACGCGTGATAGACAACTATATTATATTGGTTGCGTACGGTTCAATTCAGTTTAAAGTTTGAAAGGTAAAATGTGAAAAAAACATTATGTCGAAATAGTTTTACTTTTTTTTTATTAAAATATAAATCAAGTGCTGTTATCCGTTACAATACTGTAGTATTTTCAGTGTGACGCATTACTTTAAACCGCCATGACAGTACTTTACTACTTGGGCACAAATAATAGATGGCATTCGTAACAGTATACGCGACCTTCCCAACTATCTTATACTCTTTGGGTTAGCCTTTGGTTATTATATCCAAGCGAACCGTTCTCTTAGGAACGGACTATATCTCTGGAACGACTTTATGTTTAGAGACTTCAAGTTACCCCTAAACCTAATAAAGAAGAAGCCTAATGTCAGTCAGAACTGCGGTTTCGGAATGAGAATGGTTCGGCTGGTAAGACGTTAGACCTGCCTACTGGATTTGCCGAAGGTTGTGGGTTCGATGCCCACTGGGTGCCATGGGTAATTGTTAAAAAAAAATTGTTTATAAGTTATAACTTGGTTGTATGCTGGCCGAATTGCCTAATGAGACACAGGCCAAGTAAAGCCTAATTTTAAAAAAATGCGGTTTTATCTGCCATTCAATTCCATTCCTTACCTACATCCACGTGTTTTAATTTAGTTTTATTTGTTAAGCTGTTTCGTCAGGGCGCAATATATACATGTATTTTGAACAGATACTATTAAAAATGTATGTATTTTTTACGGGCAATTTTTTGATAGTAGACACGATGACATTTTGGTGCAATTTAAAGTTTTTTTTTTTAAATTTTGATAGAGTAAACAGTACTTTTAAACTTTTATTAGCGTTAAATGATTAGTTTTGGGTTGTTAAATTAGTTAAATGGTTAAAAACATAACGTTGATGCGATTGAGGATAGTGGACGGGTTTGTTTTATATTTTTCAATTGTGCTGGCAAATTGCTTTGATATCAATGCCAAAAATTGAGAGTGTGTATGTGAGTGTTCTTGAATGTCTCCTGTTTCCACGTACTATATTCATAGAATGTATAAGTTTACTTGTCAACAAGGACGTTAACTCCCCATCCTCGGCTGGGCGTATGATCTTAGTATTATTGCCCACCTTAAGATAAAAGCATTTTCTGTTTTGTTTTTATATAATTTATATATCTATGATCGAGAGCATTGCACGCGGCGGTTTAACCTCCGTTCGCTCCCGACAGAATCCCCTGTATTCGTCCTCAAAAGTTTGATATCGGTTTCCACTGTGTGGACTTAGTGTTGTTAGTGTTCAGTGCATGTTTTAAAGTTATAATCGTCGTCGGGCCCGTCGTTTTTCCCCGTTCACGCCGGTATGGAGGCCGGATGGGCCCGGATGGTCCGCGGTGGAAGCGGGGGGTGTCGGTTTTTTTTGGTATCGGTCAAATTTGTTTTTTTGCTAGTTGAGCAAATATTGGTTATGTCTTCTTTGTACGTGTTGGTCAATGACCAAAAGCGAAGATCCTCGACGGAAGTCGGCAATGGGCGAATGATCCTAGCAGTCGAGCCCAACATTTTTTTGTGAAACGCATCATTGAATTGAATTATATCTATGATCGACTGTCGTTACTCATTTGTTAACCAATTTTCAAGAAAATCAGCAAAATATTGTTGGTAAGTTCAAAAATATTTAATTTCCGAATACTGGGACCTCCTAGATTAGTACAGAACTGTTTTCACATGAACTCTAAAAAATGATTGACCTCAAAGGCTTTTCATATAAACAATTTCTTTTGAAACTTGGTACTTGGTCACAATACAGGAGAACAATATCTCTTATGCCAAAATCGAGAAAAAAGATATTTGCCCCTAACCCAAATAAGCGAAAACTTGTTATAGAAAAAGCTCTGCCAAACGCCCCAACCTTTGTAAAAGAATTAGGGCCCAGGAAAAACAAACTCGGCATTCAAATGCTCTCAAAATTTATCTATGATCAGGTTTTCCTAGAAGATTATAGAGAGAAATGCAGTGACCAAGTTTTAAATGAAAGTAGGCAGGAATTACTCAAGCATAACATGTCTTGCAAAAATGTTGAAATCCAAGAAGATGTCAACTTTAAGATACCTCCCCTTTATGGCCGCAACATTGAAGAACATTTTTATAAAATAGGGGAACAACAGCTGAAGCCATATAGAGACCTTATGAATGATCTTGTGGAGACTATTCCTCAAATACCCAAGAAATGGTTGTTCTGTCAGGGTTGGACAAGATATGCCCCTAATTCTTTGCCAGAAAAAGTAGATTTTCCATTAGAAAGAGCATTAGTTTTTGATGTAGAAGTCTGCATGGTGGCAGGAAAACTCCCCACATTAGCTACTGCAGTTTCATCCAAAGCTTGGTACAGTTGGGTAAGCCCAGCACTTATTAATGGCTCTAGTAAAGCTGATGCTTTACACCATTATACTTTAAGTGAATTGATTTCTTTTGAAAGCACATCTCATGATGATGGCAGCATTTTAAATGATTTTCAGAAAGAGCCAAAGGTGATAATAGGACATAATATTTCCTATGACAGGGCCAGAATCAAAGAGCAGTATTGGTTAAATAAAACTGGCACTAGATTTGTGGATACAATGAGCTTACATGTTTGTGTTAGTGGTTTAACTAGCTATCAGAGAGCTGTTATTAAATCTGACAAATTTTTGGAAGAAGATGAAAGTTGGAAAAACTGTAGTTCTCTTAATAATTTGATTGATGTGTACAAACTATACTGTAATAAAAAACTAAATAAGGAAACAAGAGATATTTTTGTAACAGGAACATTAACAGACATAATGCAAGATTTTCAAAAGGTTATGAGATATTGTAGCACTGATGTGCTTGCTACCTATGAAATATTTCAGAAGCTTTACCCCTTATTTTTGGAAAGGTTTCCCCATCCTGTTACGCTAGCTGGTATGATGGAACTAGGTACTGCATATTTACCAGTAAATCAAAATTGGAATACCTATATTTCTGAATCGGAACAGACATTTCAAGATCTGGAAGCTGAAAGTAGAATACTTCTCGCTAGACATGCTGATAATGCATGTCAGTTACTGCACGACAACAAATACCAGGAGGATCTCTGGCTTTGGGATCAGGACTGGGACACCAAGAGTCTACGGTTGAAGAAGTTGCCTGAGCAAAAAAAAAATAAATGTGAATCAAAATCTATTAATTCAGAAACACATACCGATGAAGATGTGGATGAATTAGAGGAGAAATTCAAATATTTATGGAAAACTAAAGAAAGCTTGTCTAGTGTGCAAGTACTTTTACCTGGATATCCTAATTGGTAAGTAACATTTCTGAATCCAAGTAGCTATTATACAGCCTATAGTAGCAGTAATTAATTTTTCTAGAATGTAATGATACTTTCAGGTACAGAAAAATTTGCACAAAGTCTGGATCTACACCTGATTGGATTCCAGGTCCTCATTTAATAAGTACATCAATGAAAATAACACCCAAATTACTTCACTTAACTTGGGAGGGTTATCCGCTACATCATGTAAAGGAAAGAGGTTGGGGTTTTCTGGTCCCTTATTCCGACGACTGTGAAGTTAAACGCAGCCTGCCCCTGAAGCAGTTACTAGAAAAATGTCCATTGTTAACAGAAAAAAGCAAAACAGCTGATGGAGATGTTGTGTTATCAAATATAACAAAAGCAGTTGAAGACCATTTAATGAGCAAAGAATATTACTCGAAAGTAAAAAAGGATAAAACTGGAGGGCTTTATAAAGGTAGTATGCATATTTTTCAAAGTTGACTTTACTGACTCAATTAAATAATGGTAGGTGCTGGAGTATGGTGCAACATACAAGTAGAAGATTGTTGTTGGTTTTTTAAATTACCACATAAAGATGGAGCTTCGTATAATGTCGGTAATCCCTTGGCTAAAGACTTTCTAAATAAATTTTCAGAAAATGTGTTGGCAAGTGACTCAAAAAGTGCAGAAAATGTTTTGACTATAGCTAGAAAATTGTCATATTGGCGAAACAATCGCAACAGGATTTTAGATCAGATGGTTGTCTGGTTACCGGAAGATAGTTTTCAGAATCATTTGCAACATAAAGGTAAAAAGTCCATTTAAAAAGTAAAAAGTTACCCAAGTTGACATACATAGATTACTAGAAATTTTGTGTATGTATGCTTTGTTAACTTAACCTTTAACTTTTTTTTAATTTTGAAGGATTTACGTATGGAGCAATCATACCCCAAGTTGTGGTGTGTGGTACTTTAACTCGAAGAGCTATGGAACCAACCTGGATGACTGCATCAAATGCTCATTGTGAAAGAATCGGCAGCGAGTTGAGAGCAATGGTTCAAGCACCACCAGGTTATTATATTGTCGGAGCAGATGTTGACTCTCAAGAATTGTGGATCGCCAGTGTACTTGGTACTGATATTTTTTAATACGCTTGGCATAATATAAGAAAAAAATTTAATAAAATTTATATGTCGTTAGAGTATAATAAAACCTTTTTATTACCTACATTGGCTGAATAGTTCACCAAATTTGATGTTTTCCATGCTTAATAATCATATTAGATTTCTACTTTAAAATAGATTTTGTAACATACTTATACTTTTTTTTCAATTTATGAATCTAAGTTAGCTTACCTGTAATGTCACCCTGTTGGCCCATCATATTTAGTAATTATTTGCAATTTATATCAGTATTTTTTCTTAAACTACTTTTTTAAATGCTTGATATATTTTAAATGTTTGATATATTCATGTTCATTCCAGGAGACTCTCATCATGCTAAAATGCATGGCGCCACACCATTTGGTTGGATGACTCTTTCGGGGAATAAGTCCAATGAAACAGACATGCATAGTGTAACAGCGAAAGGGGTCGGTATTTCTCGGGACCACGCAAAAGTGATTAATTATGCCAGAATATACGGAGCAGGTCAAAATTTTGCAGAAAGATTACTAAAACAATTTAATCCGTCCATGTCAGAGACTGAAGCTCGCAGCAAAGCTCTAAAAATGTTCACCCTAACCAAAGGAAAAAAAATCTACTACCTTAAGCCTGAACATTTACTTGATTTTCCGGACAAACCTTACAACCAGTGGCAAGCCTTTGAAATAGCAAAATCTTGTCGTAAAACAATTGACGAAATGTTTTTGAAATCCAAATGGGTAGGAGGAACTGAATCAGCAATGTTCAATCGTTTGGAAGAAATTGCAAACAGTCCTAGTCCATGCACACCCTTTTTAGGGGGTCGCCTAACGCGGGCCCTAGAACCTAAAACCGCCGCAGAAGATAAATATTTACCGACCCGGGTCAACTGGGTAGTACAATCGGGAGCGGTTGACTTTTTGCATTTGATGCTGGTGTGCATGAAGTGGATAATGGGAGGCAAAGTTCGGTTTTGTATTAGTTTCCACGATGAGGTCCGCTATCTTGTGCCCGAACAATATAAATATCAAGCAGCTCTGGCATTACACGTCACCAATCTTCTCACGAGAAGTTTTTGCTGCTATCGATTGGGTCTGGCAGACGTACCACAGTCGGTTGCCTTTTTTTCCAGCGTCGAGGTGGACACAGTTTTAAGAAAAGAATGTGGTAATGACTGTCAGACTCCTAGCAACCCCCACGGGTTAGAGAAAGGGTACGGAATTAAAAGCGGAGAATCATTGGATATTTATCAAGCTATTAACAAGGCTGCCGGCGCTCATACCTGCTGGTATGATGATAAGAAAATTAAAGAGTTTGAGGAGGTGAATCATTTTTGAGAGTTCCTTTTGCTTCTTGTGCCTGTTACTGTTTTCAACTTTCACAGTTTACCGTTTCACTATATTTTAATACATTAACTTTTAGCAGAGTGTTATGTTTGTTGTTTCTCATTATGGAAGGTTTCAACCATATTCGAGAGTTGAAAATCATCACAGTTAATAGAAAACCACGAGAAAATTCTTCAATAATTTGTCATTATTTTGACTCTAAAAACTCTTATTTCGCTAGTTAAATTAAATTCACGAATAATTATGTTTCTTCCGTCACTAGGTAAATTTAATGTAGAGGCCATAATTATGATAAAAATGTTACCATCGCCATGCCATCTTTTTTTTTTCTGCAAAATTTAATACGTGTATGTTAACTTCTTGAAAAAATACCACAAATTTTTATTGTTACAAAAGTACAAAAGTATTATTAGCATAGGCAAAGATTCCATATTCAATATCTAATTGCCATGTGGAGCATCAAGCGTGTTATATTTTTCTATGTGGAACACCTTAAACAACCTAAATCGATAACCGTTTAATAATTTAAAATAAAATGACAAAAGCTCAAACGCGCCGAAATACAAACACCGACCTTCAACATCGGAAAAAACTTGATTAAAATCTCAAATTTAATTAATGGAAAATTAAGTTTTTACTTGTTCCATTGTTGTAACAGTATATATTTACTTGAACATCTGTAAAAGTGGCAACGGTATTATGAACTTTTAGAATGACGTATAAATTTTCTCATTGAACATTAAGGAGGTCAATTGGATTTGAGAATTCGCGGAAATATGAGAGTTATATTCATAACTCGAGGCTCTTTCTATTGAAATACGTTTTGTATTAGAAAAAACATGTGACTGTATACAATATTTTTCTCATTTTTAATTAAAAAAAGCTCTAATCATTAACATTTATATCTTACTAACATTGGTCTCTACTCCACTGTTGGGTAAAATTTTGGTCACCAAATGATCAGGTATCGCAAAAGTCTGATACAAACCGTCCTCAAATGGAAAGTTTACCTTAATATCACAGGATTTTGTTGTAGTAATTCGTGTGTCCAAAGATTTCTCTGACATATAGAGCCCAATTTTCTCACAAGATATTAAATCCAAACCAATTACTTTTTCAAAACAATGCAGATTGCATTCTTGACAGTCGGTAATCTCAATTCTTGTAACTGATCTCAGTAGCACAGTCACCTTATTGCACATGTCAAGATTTACCGATTCGATTGCATTTTCTATAACTACTGTACAGTCTTCACAGTTGTAAAGAAATATGCAGTCGCCTTTCTTTGCTGTGTTTATTATAACACCATGGTTGCCCCTCTGATGTTCTATTTTCCATTTATTTTCAAAGGATGTGATTTCATTAGAGGTTGTAGATCTATGTTTATTAAATACTTGTTGACCAGCATCATCTTTATTTATTTCCTTAAGGAGTGCTTGATGTTCCATCATTTTCTTTAAATTAGGATTGTCTCCCAATGGTTGAGAAGCTGGCAAGTTAAGCGTTCCCAACCATAATATACCATTTTTAAAAAAGCTTATTATAAACAGTGATAATTCTTCATAAGTTTGCATCCAACTTGTAAACCACTCCAAGTGGACTTTTCCTAAAGTTTCGATTTCAGTTTGAGCCTTCTGTTTATAAAACTCAATATAATTATTTAGTTTTGGAATAAATTTGTCCACTTCGTCTTCGCAAAACCATTCAAAGATTTTAATACTCTTGCTTACCAATGTAATTTGAAAAATGTGGTCGCTAGCTTTGGACTCTGCTGCAATTACTTTGTGTATTTCCCGAAGTATTGGTTCTGTCAGATATTGTTCATTTGAGGGGTTGAATGGCTTTTTGTATTTACAAAGGGTTTCCACCAAATTGATCGTCTGCCGAAATACATTGTCAACTGTAATACTTTGTTTGTAAATGAGACCATCAATTGACTCAGAATAGCTTTTGTATTTCTTGAAGGGATTTCTGTATATTTCTTTTAACGTGGTTACACTCATAATTTTGATATTACTGCTTGACATTTGAAGTGACTTATCGACAACTAAAAAAAGTGTCACTAAGAGCGGAGGCAGGGGGTAGGTGAATAACGCAATTAACGCAAAGAATGGCGACGAATTAGTTACTGTTGCCTAATAATTTGGGATCCTTACGGTATTTATTTCAGAAATGTCAAGGGCAACGAAAAGGAAGCACGTAATGTTGGAAGTTTTACATGATGACTTCTCACACCCATCAGAAAATCAACAAATTGTTCGAGTTTTGGTTAGTCGAGGGAACAATTTACTTGAGGTTGAAAGTACAAATGGCAACACATTTCTTGCGTCAATGCCAACTAAATATCGAAAAAACGTTTGGGTTAAACGAGGTGACTTTGTTCTTGTGGAACCTATAGAAGAAGGTGATAAAGTTAAGGCTGAAATTGTCAGAATTTTAACAAATCAACATGTGAAATACTTTAAAAAGGAAAAAGTGTGGCCAAAAGAATTTGATACTCAAGTCGAGAAGGAAAACAATGAGGATGATCTTTTCGTTAATACTAATAGACATTTTCCAAGTAATGAACCGAGCGATGAAAGTGATACTACCGAGTCAAGCCATGAAAGTAGAGACACTGAGGATGAACAAAACAGTGATAATGAAACCAGTGAAGAAAAGAAAAACTTAAATGCAAACTAAAGGTTTGTTTAACAACCAATTTTTTGCTTTTCATTTTAAGGGAATAAAAATCTTTTAATATGATTAACTTTGTTTTTACCTGTCATTGTCAATAAAACAATCCAAGTTACCCTAATCTAATAGGTATAGGTACTACTATTTATTAAATGGAAACTCTATTTATCATTTTCAAAGTCTGCTGGGTTTTTCCTCAACAATCGACGATGTTCCTTTTCTGTTTGGTCATATATTATGTAAGCCAGAGCAAGAGCTGAAAAATATCCTTTTGTAAGTAATGTAATTTAAAGAACATTGAAATTTTAGTAACATCGGGATAAAAAATACAAGATGTTCTGTAATAAATGTGTCATAGCATGAAATAGGTGATTATAAGGTGACTAGTGCCTTCTACATTTACATATTTTAAAAAGTTACATGTAAACTACCAAATTTCTTTTGTTACATAATTAAAAACCATCACAAGTGGTTTTTCAATAAAGTGGCAACACTCCAGATTTGGCAAACAGAATTTAGTCGGTTTCACTTTTTTTAACCATATTTAATTTTAATGATGCAATATTATTCTCACCAGTTTGAGCTTTGGCTCACTTATTACATTATTTTATAATATAATACATTCCATACGGTGTGCACACTAAATATAGAACTTCAAATCTGCAATAACTGGCAGACAACATACTCGAGTAGGGTGTTCTGTTCTTGGCAATTTTTTATCGAGCTGATGTTTAACTACTTACGTGGTACTACATATGGAGCTTGGTCCATAATTCTTCTAACCATATTGGGAACCCCTTTTGATATTATTCCCTTAAATGCTTTCTGTTCGAATGGAGACAGTCTGTAGTAAACAATTCCACGAATTTTAGCCAAATGTCCAAATCCGTGAGCCATTACCCTATAAGAAACATTACATAATCAATAGAATATTGATGCCATGTAATACGGCACTGTGTAAATGGACGTTACCTATGTATGCTTAAAACTGCGTTATTTGTTGTCGATTAATTTGAATTAATTAAAATACTAGACGCGTCTGGCTTAAAATTTGAGAATCTAAACCTTGATATAAACCGATTTACTATACAACACAGATTAATTTTGCTTGGTTAGGCTAAAGCATATGTCACATGTCACTCAGTAATTAGGACAGAGCAGCATGAGCTGCAATTTCCGACAGTTAGTGGAAGCGTGGTGACGTCACCTCGCCAACTCATGGAGAAGAATAACTTTACTTTGACTCCTAATGTATAAGATGTTGTATTGATTTTATTTTTTTTAAGGACCTTTAGGATTTTGTTTGGCAATTTAGAAATTAGTATTATACATTTTTCAATAGATTTCATCGGAAAAAAAACTAGGTACCTGTGTGTTTATAAAAAAAAACAATCAAATCTCTAGTTAAATTTATATATAATTTTTAAGGAAATAATGTCATAATTACACTTAAAAATTAACTTGTTGTCTAAAATGCTTCTGTAATTTGTTATTCTTAATCCCTAACTTGGTCATATATTTGGATTGCAATCGTTTCATATAGTGAATATCTCTGGCTTTCCTGAAATTAATTTTAGGTCTATGCATACTTTATTTGTAAGAAATATTATTACTTACCTCACAACAGATTCCTGTTCAGCAGCAGTCCATCCCAAAGCTCGATATTTGGCAAGAACTTTATGGAGTTTTTTATTATTATTATTGGAAACAGCTAATGCCTTGTTGGGGTTTAAACTTTGCTTATAATATCTCATGAGACTTCTGTGTCCAACTGTTATGCCTGATGGTAGAACTAGTTGATAATCTGAACCATCTAGTTCAGCCACATTAACCTAAATAACATATTTCTAAAGCATTTATACTTGATGATGTGAATATTGATGTAAAGAAATTTTAAACTTTTTAAGAAGATTTGAAGTAACACAAGAAATGTTTTACATACGTCTTCATCTGGATTAATATCTTCATTGTCTGCATCTTCATAAGACGAAGAGTAATCATAAAAATCTGCATATTCAGCTAATGCAATTCCCTCATATAACATTTTACAGTGCCCTTTGTCTATCATATGTTTTCTAGCAGCATCTGCAGAATGGAAGGTTCTACCTTTTTCATTGCACCATAAACACATGAATCCTTTAATAAATTAGAGAAACCAGTAGCAAGAATAATACTTCAAAAAGAGTATACCTACCACAAGTTACCTTTTCATATAAATAGCCCAAAAGACCCTCCATATTGATGCAGTACTCAATGTCTGGTATAAAAAATGAATGCACACTGGTGATGTGTTCCAAATTACTAATAAAATTTCGACTATGATGTGTGCAAAATAAACAATCATTGCTCTCAATAGCAGTATTTATATCTTCCCACTCATCAGAACTCAGTTCCTCAGAATCACTGTCTAATGCAGGATCAAGAACATTGTTTTCATTAAACGATTTGTTTTTATTAACAGAATTATGGTGGGTCACATTTTGCTCTGATGGATTAAAACTTTTCTCATTATCTTTGTGCTTTTTTGAATTCAGGTGATTATTGTATGCATTGCTATTTCCATAATTTTTTTTACATATGTGGCAGTAGACATTACTGTTTTGCTGAAGAGCTTCATTCAAGTTCCGTTGGTTTAACACCTTAAACTGAAAGTCTTCACTGTTAACTGGCGGCAATTCAGCAACTTTTCGTTTTAAATTATATCTGTCAAAATATATCGATTTGAAAAGTGAGTTTATTTTTATTATCATTGTACCCACCTGTGCCAATCTGATTTATAGTGTAATCTTTGAATTTCTGGATCTTTAAACCCAACTCTACAAGTTATACACGTGAAGGAAGAGTGTTTAACAAGGTCCATTTTATTTTATAAAAGAAATAAAATCAACTTGGAAACGTTGTAACTAGGCATCAGAGCGAATAGATATAAAACGTGGCTCCTTCGTACGTTCACTGATGTCAGATATCACTGATATGACTGATATAATAGAAAAACACTAAATATGATTATTCTTTTTGGACCCAACAAAACTTGGCCTAGATTGCTAGAATCATTGGCCCATTACCGATATCTGGCGAGAATTACTATTTACTGGTTAAAAATTAATAATAAAGTTTTTTGATTGATTTGATATTTACACGATGTCGATATTCAAAAATGGAATTTTGTCCAACTACTGTGTGGATGAAAAAAATGTGACAGCGCCGTACAAAGATGTTAGAATTGAAATATGCATTAAAACACAGCAACCTCGCTCTTAATCGAGTCTGTTACTAAAACACAATAAAGTATCTTTTTTTTTTAAATTAATTTACCAACTTACAGATCGTGTGGCTGACTGGGTTCAAAACAGCAAAATATGGAAACAACTTCAGCAACCGTTCTCTCAGATATATTTTTTAAAACAACATTAAGTTACTAAACGCATAAATATTTTATAAATTTAAATTTTAAAATTACAAAGCAGCAGTCGTTTTAATTTATATGCACATTCTAAGCTTCATAAAAAAATAATTCTTTTGTTTAATACGTAGATATGCATTCCATATCCAGTAGAGGTGCATTAATTTATTTCGTACTAATTACAAAAAGTACAACTTTAACTATAACTCAAGTATAATCTGCAATCACAAAAGTGAGTTGGAGTTGGTTTGGCTTTTTGCAGGTCGTCTTTTAAACACATTTTTTTCAATCGCAGTTTCTACCCTTTTGTAGCTGGTAGTCAAGTGTCGAGAATAGAAAGTGTCATAATCAAAACTCACCTAGGTATCTTAATAAACTTTTTATATCCGGAATTCTTGATTCTATTACAAATAATCATTACAAATTTGATTCTCTATTGGTTCTTTGATACAACATTATGTCATTGTCATTATGTCATAGCAAGGTAATCTTCGTTTTAGTTTTATGACTTTTAGTCTTTGTTTGATGGAAAACATACTTATATGACTATAGAAATATATTGTCCCATAATTTATATCTAAAAATTATTCTTTGGTGTTTTAAATTTTTAAATAATTTTAGGAAGAGGGTGTAGGTACGATTTTAGGATGGCAAACAATTCGGATAATAGTGTAAAAATATTTCCTGCAAAAGTTATTGGTGTTGCTGGGAATATTTGTATTGTGGTAGGTATCTGCTAAGAACATTAATTTTATATTTCAGAAAAGCGTTTTTACACCTACAAATTCTTGTTGGGCGAACTGATACAGCTGATTAAATGCCTAGTCATTTTTTCTAATTGCGCATTTTTAGTACGACCAAAATTTCATAAGCAATAAGCAACTATCTGAAAAATATAAGCAGTATTTATTTAAATATTACCTATATATATTCTTATAGGGAAAAATCATTTTTTCCCGCAACCTGCCGCCGCATATATAGGCAAATTATGTTGGTTTTAGGGTGCAAGACAAATATATCGAGGTTATATAGGTAGTTGATTTGATTCTCGACTAGACAAGTACACAAAAAAATAGAAATTGGCCATAAAATAGGTACTTTTCGCAGAAATCCATCCTTCACCATTTAATTTGCTTGTAGTTATTATTGTTCTGTTATGTTGAGAAAAGCACATTCGTAGATGATTTTTCATGAAGTTCCTACAGTTATAGCATCGATTTTGGATGCTACGGCTAGTCCAGGCCCATCTGAAATAGAGTCTACAGTGGGTGGTTTATTTAATTATCTTGTGATTGTCACTATGCCCGTACATTGAAAAAAAAAAATGAAAATTTGATCTTCTGGTGCTTAGTGAAAGTCTGGTAAACGGCATTTGAGTTACGAGTTTACCAAACTTATTGCATACTATGCTTTTTCTACGACCCTTAGTTTTTGGGAACATTTTTGCAAAAGACGGTCCATTCACCGGCATGACCGTCAGAATTGACAAATGTCAAAATTCAAGCCATAGGAAATATCTCCGAAAACATCCGATTGCTCCTAAACCCATGCGGTAAACCCCGGAAATATCCGAAGTGGCTCGGATCCGTAGGAAAAGAAACTGGCCTGGTAAAATGACACTTCCGCATGCTAGATCGGTGTGTAATTAGAAATTTTACAGAAGGGTGTAGAAAACATTTTTAATTCCTACTCTAAATGAAATACCCATTTACGGCTGTGCCCAAAGTGTCACTTTATAAACACTGTCGTGAGCCATACGTCCCTCAGTGTTGTTTTGAAAAATGTACTCATCTAATTGTCGTAGAAACAATACAATTTATAAACTCCTTCAGACACTGGTTTACTAAACAGTCGCTCTGCTGCACTCTGCTCGCTCCTAAACAGACCAAATTGTCGTTTATACAACTTGTTGCATAATATAGTATTTTGAACGTTCGTGTTTTCTAAACTATAGATGCTCTTTTGTAAGTAAATTGATTGAAACTTGAAAGACAAATTGCAGCTATTTATTACTTTAAATAAATATTTGCCTTTAATTTTTATATTTTATAGGTATTGGGGTTAGCAACATGTGTATTGTGCTATTTGCAAATAAAAACCGAAGAAAATGTTCTCAGAAATGCTAATTTTATTGCCAAATACAGCCACATCATTATTCATATTTCCTGTTTGACTATCATTTTATTAGATGTTTATACATTAACACGAAGCATATTTTTCGTGAGTATACCATTTATATTTAAAATAATTTCCTTAAAATGTTTGTGATCCTAAAGTAATCACATATTTACTTTTTTTTTTTCAGAAAAGAAGATTTCACCGTATTTTTGCTGGTATTGGTGTGTTTTTATATTTGCTATTTGAGACAATAATGGCTGTAAATGCTTTGACCTCAAAATTTTACAAAGCTCTTGTTTTTCGTATTCTGGTTTTGTTTATTTTCCGTAAGCAATCTAATTACTAATTACTGCATAATCGACTCTAATAGCTAATAGTTAAAATTATAAGGTAATAATCAGTAATACCCGGTAACATAAATATTTTTAAATACAGATTTAGAGTGTAAATTGTAATTTGGGCATTTTCAATTAAATCTTTGCATTAGTCATATTATTTACATTGTATTTATGGATTTAAAAAATTATTAATTGCGGTTAAATTTACAAACTAAGTGCTGCCGTGTTTCTAATGTGACCCCTATACCGACTTCAGTGTTGATTTTTAGTATTTTTATTTACCTTTACCCTGGCCATATCTAAATTTTACCAAGACGTGAAAGAACAAAGGAGGCGAATAAAGGAGCAGATTTTTGAAAGGCAAATAGCTAGACACCATAAATGTACGTTTTTTCCATCAAAACGTTTCCTTCTAGTATTTAATTGCATCCTTTGTTTTAGTTGAACGGGTTTATATACCACTAAGACCACCAGAACAATCCACATCTTCGGATCCCTAATTGAAAATAAAAGTCATTATTAATTTGTTATTTTGTCTTATGTACTTAAAACACGATTTTATTATTGTTATTTTCCCTGTCACGATCATTAACTCAATGCAAATCAATATACAATATAATATAAATAATAATTAATAATAAAATAAATATAATATAAATCAAAGTATACAATATGATCCCACTGAATTATACCAAAAACAAATTAAACTAATAATAATGAATCCTCGATCTCCAAAATTATATTCTTTAATTAAATTACGCAAACAAGAAATGCCAATTAGTTTCTTTTGCAACAGCACCATCAGTTAAACTTTCAACAAGATAAATAAAAATTTTAGAATATCATACTGCCCTTAAACCTAGATATGTTATAAAAAATTCGTTCGAAATAATCAACAAGCTTAAATACATTAAAATTCCTCCTAAGGCAATTCTAGTTTCCTTGGTCGTAAAAATCTATTTCTTAGTATTTCACCGATTGACGTAATAAACATAATAGAGAATATTCTTACTCAGAGACAAGTCAACCCTATCATGAAACAAGACTTGTTAGATAGTTTAATAGTTCATTTAGCCCAAAATTATTTTACATTTAACGGTCAATTTTTTATTGCTAAAGAAGGATTAATTATCAGAAACCCACTTAGTCCACTACTTGCAGAAATTTTTATTGAAAATTTGAAAAATATCATACTGAGTAAAAGATTTCTTTGGTGGTATAGATACGTAGATGATATTGTTGCTCATTTCACTGGAACGGAAACACACCTGCAGTCCTTGTTGAATCATATTAACTCAATCCATAAGCGTATAAAATTTACTATAGAGATGGAACTAAATAACTCATTAAACTTTCTGGGCTTAAATATAACTAAATTACAGATCAAATTAGATTTTTCCATTTACCATAAACCCTCACACACGGACACAGTAATTCATAATAACTCAAATCACCTTCACACACACAAAATGACTGCCTTTTATTCTTTGATTCACAGACTACTTAATATACCACTTTCCACAGAAAATTTTGAAAAAGAATGAAATATTATAAAACAAATAGCATTTAACAATGATATATAAGATTATAACTAAAAAGCAGTTTGAAATAACCGGGAACTCTATCTATCCCATATTAAATACCGAACCCAAAATTTATAAAACAATAAAATACATTGGAGAATAAAGCAAGAAAATTTATAAACACCTATCTAAATTTGATCTACTTTTAAAACTGAAAACATCATTTTAAAAATTTTTAAAAAACAATAAAACTAAATTACGAAAAACTCAATAGTCTGAAGAATAATTTTCAAATTTTACATAATGAAACAAAAATTAATAAAATGAGATATTGGAATCTATTACTTAATGACCAATTGGATTTAAATGCGTATCTGTTGTAAAAGGAAACTTTATAACCCTACACCGATAATTAAGAATCAATTACTACCTGATTGTATACATAGATGTCGGAATATTTCATATTTTGTATTTGATAAAGGTGTTGTCGAAACAGTTGTCATAAAGTAATAAATAACTGAAAATCTGAGCATTTTTTTGTTTTAATTTTATTGTGCAATGTAAATTTTATAAAGTATATAACTAAACAAACTCCTAAGTAAATCGGTATTGAGTGCACCCTATCGTTTCCTCTCATTTTTGGCGACGAGACGTCTGGCGTCGGTTTTTCGCTCGCCGAGAATCTGCACTCAATATCTGGTCTCCGTTCGAACCAAAACATCGAATCCTTTTCCTGTTATCTCTTTTCTATATAGAGTCTATTGTGTTTGACAACAATTTGGTTTGAAATGAGAGGTTTAAAATTGTGTTGTAGTTATAAGACGTGGGCAATGTTCAATGCGTTAACGAATTTGGTGAGTACAACATTTACCCTCAAAAACTGAATTTATAACAATTACCTTGATGTCTTTATTTATATTGTTATATATACTAGACGATTTTAATATGTCTACGTAATATACAAATGTGAAAATAATATATTTTTTAAATATTACAAATTTATTTTCTATTTCTCTTTTATTGTTAATAATTGTTTATCAAAATATTCAAAAATGTCTAAAATAAACCACAGAAAAGCTTAAAAAGTCATTTACGCCAGTAATGTCGATACGGTATGTATTTTACAAAATTGATTAACCTGACTGTCTATAAGATTTGCGAATATCATACAGGGTGTGCAAGATATCCGGCGCTATGCTAAATGTGTCAAAAATTGGCAGTTATCGACTTGAAATTTGGCAGGGTGGTGGAAGTTTACTTTCTGGGCGTCATCAAACTTTACGAAGCATTTTTTTTTTGGTTTATTTTCAATCCTAGATTATTTTTTCTCGAAAATGATTTGCCCGGTCAGAAAAACCCTTGAACCAGGAAACGCGGGAAATATGGGGCCATAACGTTTTTTTTTAGTTAACTTTTCGATTATGTACAGGGTGTGTCGGTTATAGGCTGAACTAAAAATTAGCCTGTCCGAGGGTAAATTATTAGCTCCAGGTGAAAAAAAAACGTGATCTGGCTTAGGCAGTGATATAGGCTATATCGAGGACAATAATTTTCTTATTTACAATTTTCCTCTATCTAAGCGAGATACAAAAGTATGGCACGAATTTCCAGCAAGTTCGACTCAGTAAACACTGAGGCAGGAAGGATCCAGTACCGAGACAAATTATTTTTTGAGGTTTGAATTTATTAGATTGGCAATGTTCGTGTTAAATATTTAGCGGGACCCTGTATAGTTTTAATAGGCAAAATTTTTCCTGATTTTTTATTTTTGTTTTTCAGAGTTTTATTTAAAAATGTTTGCCGATGGTACTGCGGATCACTTAAAACATAAGCGGCCCATAGCTTATTTCGGTAGATTTTTAAAACAAGGAACAAGTTTTATTCACTCAAATAGTTGATGGATATAAGGATTTGTACACTGATTTTGTTAATAAAAAATCTCAACGGTAATGTCAAATAAATTAGTTTTTACTGTTACAATTTCTCTTTCAGAGATGTGATGGTACGAATTAACGATAACCCCTGTAAAATTTAAAATAGTTAGTTCATTTAGGCAAAAATATATTAAGCTTTAATAAAGGCGTATTTTAGTTGTAAAATAAATATATATATTTTTTTCGAAGTAAGGAAATGTTAGCAACAGTTTAGGCGAAAAAACGTACTAGTAATATCCAGTTGAACTGGCAACGCTGGAGGTGAGTAATTATTTCCGAACGAGAGCACACCATGATCATAGTTGAAAGAAAAACGATTTCGGTCTCCAGCCCTTCTAACAGCCCTTCAACGAGAATCATCTTTTACAATACAGGTTGTTCTTTCAGAATTTGAAACCTATAGACTATATACTGCACCAAAAATATAACAAAATTAACATTCACAAAAAGTATTGTTATTTTTGAAGGAATTTTTATATTATAACCTGGCAGGTATACAGATTGCCCAAATTTCTATGAATAGTCTACTGCTTTTTTCCTGTTTGGAAATATGGTATTAATATAATACATATCAGGAAACAAATTATAGAGTGTGATCAGAAATTAATCCGATCGGGATTAAAATCATTTAAAAGTCGGTTATTTTAAACATATAACAATACTGTTTACCTTATTACTATTGAATAATATAGTGGCATTGATAGTTTTGTAGGGGAGGGAATAATGAACTGAACACTAGTGTAAGAGACTCAATGTTTCCTAGACTTCCTTTTAGAAGCCGCGTGTGGAATAATAGTATACAAGTTCATCGAAATAAATTCTTAATTTAAAATTTGATCACAAACAAAACAAAACTACGGATAAACCCTCGAATTATAAAATAAACGGCCTACCTTATGTGCACTCTAGTGTAAGACCCCCGAGGCCTCTCGGATTTTCTTTCTCCACACCATGTCCATTGCAGCAATGTAGTGGGGGTTACCAATCGCAAACACGCGAAAACTATGCGCGGTAATTCGGCCAAACAAAACCCGAGGGCTCATATTATCGCGGTGAAATGACACGCGTTTTTTACCATAAAGTATATAAAAAATTAAATTAAAATTAAAATTGATAAATGTATTCGATTAACCCCGAATCATAAAGAAATCAATATATAGAAAACCGAGGTAATGAATTAATATTTAGTGTCAATATACAAAATAAATAACCAAAACTGAACATACCGCCCACCAAATACAACGGTATTTCAAAAAACAACAAAAAAAAAAGAAAATAAACAAAATATGCTAATATTAAAGTTTATCAATTGTGATTAATTGGCCGGCAGAGGACATACCTTAATAACCGGTCGTTTGATTAAACCGTTTTGGGTTCTGACAGTGACTACTCGTGGAACACCGTCAGCACCAGGGTGAATGGAATCAATCCGTCCCAGTCTCCACTGGAGGGGAGGTAAATTATCCTCCTTCAGTACAACTAGAGTACCCGGCGTGATAAGAGTGGTATCTTTATCCCATTTAGCTCTCTGTTGTAAAGAATGAAGATATTCCATATGCCATCTTTTCCAAAATGATTGATGCATTTTGGTCAGTAACTGCCACCTATCAAGTCTATTCATAGGAACACAAGTGAGGTCGTGATCGGGAATAGCTGATAAAGGAGCTAAGGAGAGAAAATGACCTGGTGTTAAACTGGATAGATCGTTGGGATCACTACTCATAGCGCAAAGTGGTCTAGAGTTGAGTACGGCCTCAACTTGAGTGAGAACTGTGTAAAATTCTTCATAGGTAAGTAATTGTTCCCCTATGATTTTAGTAATGTGGGTTTTGACGCTTTTAATGCCAGCTTCGTGTAACCCACCAAAGTGAGGCGCTGAAGGAGGGAAAAATTGCCACTCGATTAATTCCTCAGCGGCTGCTTTAGCCATGCAATCTGCTAAGTATCGAGCTGCACCAACGTAGTTGGTACCGTTATCACTGTGCAGTTTGGAGCATCTACCACGTCGACTGATGAAGCGACGCAATGACGCAAGAAAGGCAGAAGTGGATAGGTCTGATACCAGTTCCAAATGCAGGCACTTTGTAGAACAACACACAAAGAGAGATAGATAAGCCTTTTGAGTACGGCAACCTCTATGTCTTGACATCAGTATCTGAAAAGGGCCACCGAAATCCAAAGAAGTACATTGAAAGGGCTTGGCTTGGGTAATGCGGAAACTAGGCAAATCGCCCATTTTTGGTTCTATTACCTGAGGATGTGTTCGAAAGCAGCGGAAACACTTATGGACAATACGTTTTATAGCTCCTTTAGCACCCAAAATCCAAAACCGTTGAGATATAAAATAGCGCAAGGCCTGCTGTCCACAGTGAAGGTATCTTTTATGAAAATCCTCTATTATAAGATCAGTCAACCTATGTTTGTTGGGAAGCAAAACGGGATGCTTCTGATCGTAATCAAGTTGAGAGTGAGTAAGGCGTCCGCCTACCCTGAGAAGTCCTTGTTCATCGATGAAAGGAGCAAGCTTTCTTAACGGCTTGGAACAAACACTCTTATTCGAAAGATTGGAAATGTCTTCATAAAAGGCTTCTGCTTGTACTTGCTTCACAATGCGGAGAAGACTCTGAAATAACTCGTACTCCGTGAAAGGACCCTTTTTAACCACTGAAACCACTTTAAAACGAATGCCAAGAAAACGACGCCAATAAGTAATAAGGCGAAGTATTTTCTGTAAGCATGAATACCTATTCAAAATATCACCAACAGGATTATAGCCTTTTATTACCGTGAGAATGGTCGCTCTTTCTTCTGGTAGTGGTTCGTCCAATTCACCAAGTTCGTGTTTGGGCCACTCTTCGGAGGGACGCGACAACCAAGCTGGTCCCGCCCACCATAAGGGACAGTCAACTAAATCAGACGGAAGGACAGGGCGACTCGCAAGGTCAGCTGGATTGTCTTCTGATTTGATGTGAAACCAACGTTCAGGTGCTACATTGTCTTGAATCTGACTCACCCTGTTTGAGACGAAAGTGCGCCAACGACAGGGCGGTGACCTTATCCAACCTAGGACTATAGTCGAGTCAGACCAAGCATAAATATTTTGTACGTCGGGAATGTTGTAGACATTTAAGGCATATTTAAGCAATTTGGAAGCCATTAATGCAGCACTTAATTCCAATTTAGGAAGACTCAATCTCTTCAATGGAGATACTTTACTCTTAGCATAGAGGAGATAAGTAGAAATTTGGCCATCTGGAGACACGAGGCGAGAATAGATACAACTTCCATAACCTAGCTCTGAAGCATCCCCAAAAGCATGGAATTCTAAACTAACATACTTTGAAATAAAACAATAACGGGGTATTTCTAATGCTGACAGACTTGGCAATTCATTTTTGTAGTCGGTCCACCTTTGGGCAATATCTGCGGGCACTTCACTGTCCCAGTCGATACCTCTCGCCCATAAAGATTGCATTAGCTGCTTAACTAATAGAGTTATGGGACAAAGTAATCCAATTGGATCAAAAATTCTGGAGATTTCAGAAAGTATAGATCTCTTAGTACACGTCGAGTTGAGAAATTGTATGTCGTATGAGAAGATATCCTTCTCTGGAGACCATCTGAGACCCAAAACCTTCAAGTAAGGATCGGATTTAGTGTCAAGTGCGAGAGGTTTCTGTAGAATATCTGAAGGTATAGTAGATAAGAAGTCAACACAATTGCTAGACCATTTTCTAAGGAAAAAACAACCCTCATCCAATAGAGCAATAAGTTGTTGTTTGATATCCACAGCATCCTCTAAAGATTTACAAGATACACATATATCATCAACATACACTTGGGACGCTAAAATTGCTGCGGCCCTAGGAAATCTATCTCTACCCTCGGTGGCTAATTGTAAAAGACATCTCAGAGCAAGGAAAGGAGCTGAATTTAATCCGTAGGTTACGGTTTTTAGGCGAAAATCTTGAACAGGTTCTCGAGGGGAGAATCTCCATAAAATACGTTGGTAGTCTTGGTGGCTGTCATTAACAAGTATTTGTCGATACATCATTTTGATATCGGCAGTAAATGCTACAGGAAACCTTCGAAAACTTAACAGAATACTTACAATTTCATTTTGTAGTTTGGGACCAATCAACAAAGTGTCATTCAACGATCGATCCCGCGGACTGCAAGATGCGTCAAAGACTACGCGCAATGCAGTAGTCGTACTATTCGAATTAGTAACCCCATGGTGAGGGATGTAGAAGTGGCGCTGGGCAACGTCAGAGACAGGAGCAGACACGGGTTCCATATGATCCAGCTCTAAGTATTCCTTCATAAATTTGGAATATATCTCAAATAATGGAGGATCCTTAAGAAGACGGCGCTCTAAGCTATAAAACCTTTTTAGGGCTATGGAGCGTGAGTCAGAAAATAATGGCTCACCACTGGAAAACGGTAGAGTAACGATAAAACGTCCTTCAGGAGTTCGAGAATGAGTCTCGTTAAAAGAAATTTCAGCGGGATCGTCAAGGGTTAATGAAGACTTGCTACTTGGAACTTCCTCCATTTCCCAAAACATTTGAAGAGTTTTATTAATATCCCGGTTTTCTTCCAATAGTGTGCAACAGGAATATGAGGACTTGCTTTTTATACGATCAATTTTACCCATCACTACCCAGCCAAATAATGTATTGAATGCGACAGGTTCCAACTCTTTACCGCACACCTTCTCAGGCAACAAAATTAAAGGGAATAACTCGCACCCGATGAGAGCATCTATAGGTCCAGGAGTATTGTAGGTGTCATCAGAAACGACTAAATTCTCCAAATGTGACCAGTTCTCGCGACTGAAAGATACAGAAGGCATGTAGGAGCAAATCTGCGGTAAAACGATACATTCTATGGGAAAAGAAGGTGTGTTCTTACCCACCGGGCGGACCGTACAACAAGTAACACCATTCGACGATACAGATGTCATATTACCTAACCCATTAATTGGAATGTTCAAACGAGAGCGGGAAAGTCCTAATTTCTTAAAGCATCTTTCGGATATAAAATTGCCTTGGCTTCCACTGTCCAGTAGTACTCTAACTGTGTGGGAATAACCTTGGCTGTCCAGAAAATCCACTTTTGCAGTCGCAAGGAGCGTAAATGCACTATTAGAATTTATGGAAGTGGTGCCACAATGTGGTTGATCTACGGAAGAGTCATTAGCACTGGGCAAAACATCGTCATTAGGTGGACTACGTTCATTACCATGTGCCGACTCGAAATGTAGTAAAGAATGATGGCGTTTCGTACAAGAAGAACAGGTCTTATTAGAACTGCATTTCGAAAATTTGTGAAACGAACTCAAACAATTCACACACAAACGGTTGCGTTTAACTAGTAAATAGCGCTCATGAGGAGTCTTACTTAAACCGACGGAGCAGTTTATAATGGAATGCTGGGTCCTACAGATACCACAATTCAATGTAGGAACGTTATTAGAAGGAGTATTAGTAAAAAATGCTTTGGAGTGATCACCATTATTCCTAGAACCTGACTTATGTTGACGGTTACTGGCAAAAGACTTACTATTATAAATGGTTCCGGCATTTTTTGATTTATTTTCTTCCTGAGTATAGGTCAACGTATCTAAAACCTTACACCTGTTATTCAGAAATAATTTCAACTGCGCAAAAGTGGGTATATCAAATTTTGCGTGCTCCATTTCAAATCGCTGTAAGGTATCAGAATCGATTTTCATTAAGAGTAAATTAAAAAGCAAAAAATCCCATTCCGCAGTAGGAAAGTTCAATAATTTTAATGCCTCCACATTTTCACAAAACTTATCAACAACATTACGCAGTGCTTGATTCGATGGATTTGAAATTTTGGAAATGTTCATTATTTCATTGAAGTAATGAGTCGATAAAAGCCGTTTATTGTCGTATCTTTTTATTAAAGTATCGTAGGCTACTGCGTAATTGTCATCAGTTATAGGAATATTTCTCAACAAACTGAGCGGTTCTCCGGTTACGAGAGTAAGCAGTAATTGAAATTTTTGTGAAGCGGAAAAGTTCATATTATGCACCGAACTCCTGTATAAATCAAAAAATGTCGGCCACTGTTTTAAATTGCCTGAGAAAACAGGTATATCTAAACGGGGAAGATTAAAATTTAGGTAAGGCGGCAAATTATGGCTCTGGCCTGGTGGCGAAGGTGGTACCATCATGGATATTTCAGATTTTATACAAAGTTCACTATAAATGCTTTTAATTGAAAAGTATTGATCATCAACTTCCGCTCGAATTAGCTCCTGCTGCTCAAGCATTACATCCGTTACTCTTTTATCAGAAATTATGTCCAAATGCAACCTATCAAACTCATTATATGTTGATTCTAACGCCGAATATCGTATTTTAAAATCATTAATTTTAGCTGGGTTCTGTGTAGCAGCAGTAGCTAAATCGTAGATTTCTTTCAATCTTTGTATAAAAACGCTTCTTCTATTTACTTTTGAATCTGCCATGGTTTAAAAATATTTTTAGAAATTTTCTATATCATAAAAAAATAGCAAGAAAGAAGAAATTAAATTCAATTATATTAAAATATGCGAACAACCTCGTAAAATCCACCAAAACCACAATTGATAACAAAAAACAATCAAAATATCGTACACAAAATCAAGACCGCAAAAAACTCTAAACGATTTAAATTCTTTACCTGTTTTCCGATACTTCGTCAAATTTATTCAAGGTCGTCTTATTTAAACGCCTTTATAGTGAATGAAATCAAATTTATTTTTACCAATTTAGTATTAGAAAATGAATTTAGAAAAGACAAAATAATTTTATTTTTGAATTACTGATTCTTTAAAAATCCGGGCTCGAAGACCATATGTAAGAGACTCAATGTTTCCTAGACTTCCTTTTAGAAGCCGCGTGTGGAATAATAGTATACAAGTTCATCGAAATAAATTCTTAATTTAAAATTTGATCACAAACAAAACAAAACTACGGATAAACCCTCGAATTATAACATAAACGGCCTACCTTATGTGCACTCTAGTGTAAGACCCCCGAGGCCTCTCGGATTTTCTTTCTCCACACCATGTCCATTGCAGCAATGTAGTGGGGGTTACCAATCGCAAACACGCGAAAACTATGCGCGGTAATTCGGCCAAACAAAACCCGAGGGCTCATATTATCGCGGTGAAATGACACGCGTTTTTTACCATAAAGTATATAAAAAATTAAATTAAAATAAAAATTGATAAATGTATTCGATTAACCCCGAATCATAAAGAAATCAATATATAGAAAACCCAGGTAATGAATTAATATTTAGTGTCAATATACAAAATAAATAACCAAAACTGAACAACTAGTTTTCCCAAAACATTAAACCAGACCTAGGTATATTTTGAGAAAATACTTCTATAAATGTGTCGCATCCGACCTTTTAATATAATTGTTTGTCATAGTTGCACCATTAGTTGTATCTCTAGTATCTATATGCTGATTACAATTGGTTGCAAAAAATGAAAGTCATTGAGTCTGAGCGATATTATACTGTTGATCGTGTCCCTCATATGTTTCTGTAAACTGCATTGTTTCAGGCCCTTGGAATTACGATAATAGTCGGAGGAAGCGTTTGGATGACTGGGAGATATGATATGGAATTCAAGGTTTATTTTATTTGTGGAGTTGTTCTAGGAACATTCAGTATTATCGCTGGTTGTCTCTTAGTTGCTGCCATTGTTCAGGTACATAAATTAAACAAATGGATAGCCTCAAATATTTCATAAAATTTTCAAAAGCAACAATAATGTATTATTATTTCAATGAAACAATATATATAGAATAGAATAGTTATCTGATTTTTTTTTAATTACAAATTTTTCGTCCTCTTTATTTTAAATAATAAATAAATATATTCAGATCGTTATTTTTCAAATCTATTTAACACTTACCAACTCAATTTTCTAATTAAGTAAATTAATACGAACATTGAAAAACATTTTTGGAAAGTGGTGATACCCGTATCTTCTCAGAGGTCTAGCAGTATTAAATTATTGTCCATTAATTAATGGTTAATTAATTATTGACACAACGGAGAAGGAAATCTGGATTCATACAACCAATGAGTTATGAGAGATAAGTTTGAGATAAGCGTAAAATTCCTGGAAAAATGGTGTAATTGGAACAATTTTTGAAATTTTTAACTTACGTGGATAACCCATCACCAATGATTTAAAAAAACGGGTAAAAATAAAATAACAAACTCTTTATCTTTATTTTAGGGCAAGGAGATTCTGGTCTTGAGGTACATTGTAATGGACTTTATCGTAAAATTTACGCTTACGATATTTTCAGCAATGAATGTTTACAAGCATTTCAGTATCGCAACTTTCGGAATACTGGCACTGTGCCGTAAGTCGAACACATTGCCGCATATACACTTCACACCAAAATTAATGCACCACTAAAACTTGGATCAGTTTCAAAGATGGATATAAATTTTCGGAAACTATGTTACAAAAAACATGTTTATTTAAATTTAAGATTTAGGCATGTGCAGAATGTTTACAGAAAAACGAGTTTTTTACTCAGAGTTTGTCACATTTTGTGGGTATTCCCGTCGACGTTAACTCTATTAAGTGTCTTGTGAACTTGATTATTGTCCTAATAGAAGCAGAAGTCAATGGACAACCTCTATATTTAGATGTTATAGTCAAATGTAGCAATAAGCAATCACCACATCAGTATATAGAAAGCCGACGTACGCTGGACAATACCTTAATGCTGCTTCAAACCATTCCCAAATGACCAAACGAAGAATAATTATGTCACTTCTGGAAAGGGCATACAACAGCTTCAAAGAAGAAAAGGAAACAATCAGCTGACCAAGAAGAGAAGATTATCAGAAGATACCCAACGCATCGGCCGCCATAATAAGATTAAAACAATCTTCAGATCTTGCGATAGATTCCGCTGCCCACTCGCTAACATAAAACTCTCTGAGCAGAAAGATACCAAAAACTGTATGTATAAAGTCCCAGGCCAATCTGGATAGTTGTCCACTGGCAGACCTATGAAAACTCGCATTAAGGAACACAGCAATAATGTACAGCGAGCCGAAACAACAAACTCCGGAAAAGCAGACCTCTGGTCAGAAGCAACAATAGTTCATAAAGAGCAACACTGGGAACAAAGGGAAATTAAATTTTTGTCCAGGAAAGCAAAGAGGCCTTTAGCAGTCCATCAGTTGAGGTAAAGAGGCTATGGATACCACAACTAACAAATTTCATTAGGTCTGGACTGAGTGGTCGAAAGTATGTTCACGTCATTTAAATAGAAATCGGCCCATTGTGAACTTTTTTAGCAACTCATCACTTATTTTTTAATAATTGGTATGACCCCCTCTTGCCCCAATAGCATCTCTTACTCCATTAGGCATAGATCTAATCAAGTTCGTTATTGGTTCTTGTGGAATGTTAAGCCACTCTTCTTCTACATCAACAATAAGCTATGGAATCGAGGTTGGGGTACGAAGTCTAGCTTGAATTCTCCATATTAACACATCCCATAAATGTTCGATCGGATTGTCATGAATAAAATGAATTCTTCTCCAATATAGTCGATATATGGTACGCATCAGTATTGTATGACGTTTTTATTAGTAAAGTAAAAATATAAAATATCAACTGACACATTTATTGTATGTGACTACGAGTTTATTTTTTATTTTATTTTCTTCAAAATTCTTATTTTGCTCTTTGTTCTTTTGTGAGAACTATAGGTGCTTTAATTAATGGGACCAAAATTGCCCTATCAGTTTTTCCGCTCGTTAAGTTGATAACTATGTACGGCGATCGTTTTTGCTTCCGCATTTTGTAAGTTTTTTTTTAGTCCCTTTCTTTAATTTGCCTTCCGTGCTCAATTACTTGACGTCGGCGTACTGTTTTCTTTTTATATTATATATATAAAAAAAATTGGCTCATTGAAAGAGAAATACCATACAAAAACTCTAACATTTGAAGACTTTCTCTTAACGTCTTTCGAAAATATTAATAAAAAACAATTTCTATACCCATTCGTTTTTTTGGGTCCGGTAGGGGTCGTTTCTCGACATATGTTTATATAGAAAACTAGAGCTTATGTTGGACATAACATATGCTAATACTCTTATAGTTTGGCTCACTAATTTCGGGACCATCTTATACATCCAAATCGAGTCAACAGTTGAAGTGGATTCAAATTTTAGTGGTGCGTTAATGTTGAAGTTTATTTAAATCATTTTAATCATTATATTATTTCAGCGTTTTTCTGGCTTGGCTTAATAAACGTATATTCCTTTTATAATGAACTACACGACTACAACAACAGCGCAGTACGTGTCGGAGTGGATGAGATTACATGCCACACTAATGCCAATCCGCTAGCAACGTTTCCCGAAAAATCCATTGAAAGTACGAGCGTCTAGGAACAGAATAATCTATTTGTTTTTCTTTACGTCATTATATTCGCGTTAATCTACAGGGCGATTTTTTATAAAATTATTTCGATGTATCTTCATTGATCAATCACAAATACTTGTAATTGATTTTGTTACTATAAAACTGCTTTCATTACGGTACGGCTCATTTGATATTGAAATTAAACAAGTCACTATATAAAAGCAAAACGTATTTATGTTCGCCTATCTATGCACATACTATTAATAATTTATCTAACGTCTGCGACTTAAATCAGTATGTTATTTATATTCCCTGCTCTCCTTAATGAGCGACTTGCGATGGGTATCGAATATTTCAAACGCCTCGTGCCCGGTCGGGACATCCTTTGTACATTTAAAGGTCCAGTGGAATATCTTAAAAGTATGCGTTACTAGAAGTCTGCAATATTGTCACAAGGATGAAACAATTTTTTTCTCAAAAAGAAAACATTTTTTTATTAAATGATATAATTAAATGGTTGAACTGAGGTAGGTGGCTTTTACTTGATGAAAATCCATTTAACAAAATAAATAAGAACTAAAAGTTCAGATTTTCACGAAATTATATATTTTGGCATGACAATTGTTTCGACAACACCGTGTCTTTATCACGTTTGATTGATAAAGACACGGTGTTGTCGAAATAATTGTCATGCCAAAATATATAATTTCGTGAAAATCTGAACTTTTAGTTCTTATTTATTTTAATTAAATGGTGTTATTTTCTAAACCTATGGCTTGAACCCTATAATTCTGTAAAAGCCATAGCCATATTTTTGCCTTGCTGAATTTTATTGAATTTCGAGTTAACCATAGTGGAAAAATATTTTTTATATACCTAAGCAATGACGTAATGAAAATTTTTTGTTACATAGTTATAATCTTTCCCTACTTAATGGTATGACTTATTGATAAAACGTAGCCGAAAATAGCAATGGCGCGTTTAATTGGATGTGTCACTTTTATTTATGTACAGCAGTTTAGTTATAAATATCAATCTATCTGTTTTAAAGATGATAGTTATGTCGCCATTCACTAAAATATTTTCATTATTGATTTGTAACTTTTTTATTATATTCATCTTAAAGTTCTTGAACTTGTTAAAATGTTAGCTGAAATGTAGGTTAAGGAATAAAAATACTTCATGAGTTCATATATAAAAATGCGCATCAGTATTGTATGACGTTTTTATTAATAAAGTAAAAATATAAAATATCACCTGACACATTTATTGTATGTGGCTAGGAGTTTATTTTTTATTTTATTTTCTTCAAAATTCTTATTTTGCTGTCTTTGTTCTTTTGTGAGAACTATAGGTGCTTTAATTAATGGGACCAAAGTTGCCCATGAGTTTTTCCGCTTGCTAAGTTGATAACTATGTACGACGATCGTTTTTGCTTCCGCATTTTGTAAGTTTTTTTAATCCCTTTCTTTAATGTGTAATTGTGTGCGTGAGATATTAAAATCACAGACAAAATAATTGTTATTTACAAGGTCAATATTTACTTTTTTAAAACAAAACTTTGCTCATTGGTCTAGTTATTTTTAGATAGTCCTAAATACAAACCTCCCAATTTTAAAAAATCCCTAAAAATGCTTCTACATTTTCGGATTCAAAAAACTGCGTCAACTAGCAATGGATTCAGTCGATTCTATATGAGAAAGACCAAAAACCAAAATGGAGCCGTAATCATTGTACAGCACCCTCTATTCGAGCTTCATGGAAATTAGTATAGTCAGGTTTTACGCAGTCTCGAATTCGTTGACAATTTCCTAAAGAAATCTCTAATAGCCCTTCTCGATATTTGGCATTAAAAAATAGTCCCAGTTGGCTATGACTTCAGGTTGATGTAACATAAATCCTAATAGTAGAGGAAACCAACCTAGGAAAGTATCATTAACAACAATATATTTTTAGTTATAAAGCGGTACGCGCTATGCTGACCTAATTAGTATATTATGCAACAAGTGCGGTAAACGGCATTTGACTCACGAGTTTATTTGACACGAGCGGAGCGCAGCGGAATGACTTAAAAAGTTTACCGAACGTGTTGCATACCCAAAACAACACGAATACAATCACTGACATGACCGTCAGAATTGACAAACGTCAAAATTCAAGGCGTGGAAAATATCTTCGAAAACATCCGATTGCTCCCAAACCCGTGCGGTAAAAAAAATCCCGGAAACGAAACTGACGTAGTAAAATAGGATCCCGGTAAAATGACTTTTCACGCGGTGTATAATTGGGCATTTTGGAGAAGGGAGTAGAAAAAAAAGTATAATTGTGGTAAACGGCATTTGAGTCACGAGTTTATTTGACACGAGAGGAGCTCAGCGAGTTTACCACACGAGATTCTTCTACGACCGTTTGTTTTTGGATACATTTTTGCAAAACAACACTGCGAAAACACCCGATTGCTCTCAAACCCGTGTGGTAATATCGGTGTATAACTGGGCATATTAGAGAAGAGAGTAGAAAAATATTTTTTCTACTCCCGTCTGTAAAATGCCTAATTACACACCGTCTAGGATGCGGGAAGCGCCACTTTACCACTTCAGTTTCCTTTCCCACGGATCCGAGCCACATCGGACATTTCCGGGATTTTACCGCACGGGTTTGGGAGCAATCGGATGTTTTCGGAGATATTTTCCACGCCTTGAATTTTGACGTTTGTCAATTCTGACGGTATTCGTGTTGTTCTTCGAAAATGTACCCTAAAACTAACGGTCGTAGAAAAAGTATAGTATGCAACACGTTCGGTAACTACATACACACACATACACACAATATACTATTTTTACTCCCTTCTGTCAAATACCGAATTATACACCGACCTAGCTCGCGGAACGTCTCGTTTTACATGTCAGTTTTGTTTCCCAACGGCGCTCAAATGCCGTTTACCACACGTGTTGCATAATATACTACTTTGCACTTACTATTTTTCGATTCGAATGAAATTTATGAATATTTAAAATAAATAGAAATAATTACCAAGGAAATAATGAATAGCAGTCTAACCCGCCACTGGTGGCAGTTGCATTCCGAGGTTTTAGCTGTGTGACTACGGCCGTAAGCCAATTCTCGCGAATCGGATTGCATCTGGCTGTAGCTTTCATAGATTGGTTCTACTCTACTTCTCTATTTTCTTAAATGTTCCCGGTTGATCATAACTATGTATGCATTACTGCATTTTTGAAAGCAAAAAAGGAAATCAAAATCGAACATTGTACAGTTGTATATATTTTTTTTTAATTTTGCCATACATTTACTTGGTGATTGTTTATTTAAGTTTTTCAATGTTGTTGTTGTTTTGGACAATAAACTATACTTCATTATCATCATTGCACAGAAAGTATGTCGTAAGTAAGATTCAACAGTGCCGTCTGCAGATAGGCAGGATGTCGTTTGTTTTGAGAAATTCATCTGGATGTTTCAACTGTATAAATAGCAGGCGGCTGTTACAAATATAAACAGTCCGAATATTTAATACCATTCAAATGGAGATATGAATTTTATCGCATTATTTATCACTTCTACGTTACGGCCATGATAGGTGTATGTAAATTAAATTGCGGTCGCTTATTTTTTTTAGCCAATCTGCGTTCAACGGCATGGTTTATTTATAAAAACCCATTGGCGGACCAGTTCTTTTGCTGATGATTTCGTTTGCTGACCTTTATATAATTTCTTTCCAAACACCGGCGGTGTAGTATTTAGCGGATTTTCTTCGGTAAGTTATAAAATTGTTGGTTCATATTTGGCTGCCCATGTAGGCATAAAATTTACTTTGGCATATTTTAGTTAGCTTTTCGAGATTAACGAAAATTGTCGGTCTGTAGGCATTCCGACTCCGATTGTAATTTATCACGATATATTTAGCATTTGCCAAGTACTAAAAATAATCATCTTCGATTTGAATCTTCTTTGGGGATAATATACTGGATGTCCCACTAATAATTGTTTTTGACTGACAGATAGGTCACTGTTTCCCTGTTTAACAATCCATACGGAATTATAGTATTTTTATTATCCTTTACTTGTCATATCTTCTTAGAATGATCATTATCGAAAACGCGACGGATACTTTCTTTTTAATAGTATATTATGCAACAAGTTAGTAACAAGAAAATGAAGTTATCAACGACCATTAGTTTTTCAGTACATTTTTCCAAAACCGCACAAATACGTCAGAACTGACAAACGTCAAATGCTGACTCCTTACGGTGGTACTTTCCACATGCTTGATCCGTGCATAATTGGCTTTTCATATTATGTGACCTTTTACCGACATATATATTTGCAAGTTTGAAGATTTAAGTGGAGCTTTAGATTTTTAATACAATTGTGTCTCCATAAAAATGTTGCAGATTGGACTTTTGCCATGAAACCAGGATTCAGCTTGATGAATAAGAGTGCCTATCTTGTCGGATTTGTGCATTTGGTAAGTTCAACCTTATGTCAAATAATTCACAAAGGGATGCTCCGTTCGGTAAATATTCGAAAGATGTGGCTAGTAAAAAAATCAATTTAATTTTATTAACGCAGAATATTTACAGGAACGTGCTAAGCATTTCATTTACTCATATAAAATGTCAACACCAAGACACACATCCCGTTCGTATTAAATCAAGCAAGTGACTAACGTGGTGTTAATCAAACTTGTTACATAATATTATTCATTATTATTCTTTCATTTAGGTAAGTACAGAGTGAATCAATGATAGAGTAAAGTTCATTTTATCATTGCTTTCAAAAGTTATGAAAAATATTGTAAAAAGAGATCAAGTTTGTTAGGATGCACAATTTAAAATTATTATAGAGTATACAGGGTGCTTCAAAACAGCGTGACGAACACCCTATTTTAAAATTTTGAATTTCTTTTTTATTAATAGAAGAAAGTTCTTCCTCCTGTTCATTTTTTAATCTTACCAGTTCTTACCTGTTGGCTAATAGTTTTGTCATGGCCAACTAATATTATAGCAGTATTCTTAGACAGGAAGAACGGGTAAATATTCGATAAATTAAAATAAATCGCAAACTATAAAAAATGGATATACGACCAACTTAATAAAAGTTGTAGGTTTTTGAAAGATCTTTCAGCATAAATAATAATTTATCTGGTGTGCCATTAAAAAAAATTAATTTTTTTTCTATTCTTTTATTTTGACCAACCTGTAGTATCTAATTCAAATTACGTTGCATATATCTTTTACGTCATCTTCGAATAACCTTTGGCAAGTGTGGAAACTAGCATTTTTTAATAAAAATTTAAATATTGGAAAAACTATTATATATGTATTATTATTAATAAAAAAGTTGAAGGATTGAATTTAAAACAAAAATTAAAAATGTACACACTAAAAATCTTTACAACATTTGTATTTACCATTTCCTCATAAGTTTTAGATTCATTGACTCATCCTGTACATTAGATAGAATATTTTTCTTTTAAATTCTAAACAATTACCCAGGTATCTTGCGTCAAACGGTGATCAAGTAACAGAGAATCACGATAATAATTTATTAAATTGATTTTAAAACGTCCCTTTTTCTTTGCGATTTTAGATATTGGTAGTTTACGGAATATACGTGACAATTGTTAACTTGGTTGAGGAACAATATCCAATAACTCTGGTTGAGATTTTAGGGCTTCTGGTTTTTTACTTGGGGCACTTTTTGCTAATATTTTGCTTATGGTTTGGCGCATACAAGGTATGGACAGATACATCATTTTAAGTGTGTCTCTTGAAATATGATTCTCTATTTGCTATTATTCGGTAAACTTTTCTCAAAGATAAATCAATGTATACTTAATTAAAAAAAATGAAAATCGATTTCTAGTATAAGACTTAAAATGATGTCCCGGTAGTTATTCGACAACACTTGACGATTTTCTATGTAATATTATTTTTAGGAACGCTACATATTTCACATACCCTGGTTGATCATCGCATTTGCCATTTTTGCCACCATTACGTATTTGGCAATAATTTTTTTTTTTAAGTTTCGAATCAAGTATGGAATTACGCATTTAACGAACTTCGTTTATATAGGTAAATACAAAAAAACCGTTCCCTTGATTTGCTTGCCTGTATTTTTCTACTAATCGATCGTAAATATATTAATATTATCGAATATTTTCTAGGTATCTGTTGGCTAGGTTGGTACGTCGTTTGCAGCAACGTTTTGACAAATACTCGCGTAAATTATAAGAAATAAATTAAGGTTCTTAATTTATTCAGTAAACAACTGAATGCAATGGAAACGTCATGAGAACCAAAAATGAAATGACCACAAAAGAATAAAAACCAAACACGATTGGTTGTTATAATATCTAAAATAAATCTGATTTTAGGAAATAGTTAATTCTTATTGAAACCCAGTAATATCATACCTAGAACAATTCTCATAAATACATTGGAAAATATCGTAAAATTTTAATTATTTTTGTAAAGCAAAAATGGATATTTTATTTTGCTGGATGCGCAGGGCAATTTTATTTTGCTGGATGCGCAGGGCAATCCTTCTCTCTAATAATTTATTGATTTTTTTACTTTTGCGCATGTAAATCAACCCCGTTTCTGAAAGGTCTCAATCAATGTCAGCAATAAATGTAATATCAATAATTTTCATGATAATATGATAATGTATTAGGCGTACATTATTTATTTTAGTTGTCACAAACATTTCGAAAGACAATTTAAAAATTTTGCCTTTTTCTGTTTTGGTTAAATCGATATATTTAAATGTGCATGTGTCCTTCAAATTCTTTTTTAAATAATGCTCCTGAAAAATACGAAATGATATTTCTGATCAATCATTTTTTTTCAAAGCTAGGCGAGAAAATATTTTCAATTTCTATGTGTTTTTTCTGAGATTTTTTTTAGAAGAGGGCAAACGAACGTGATGTGTGCCCCGGCTGTGTTTTGAAATCAGCAATTTATAATGTAGGCTACGCTCTACTCTCTATATTTGGCCCATACTCAATATTATTTAATCCCCAGACTCGCGAACATCATCGGGGGATACATAGGGGGCGATGAGATGCTGATGGTTCATATGAAGCAGTAATTTGCAGCTCGAGACAAAACATTTTTTTTTTTCATGTCAAGTTAAATAAGCTCTTCATCATCGTTATACCAAGTTCATCTAATTCGTTATCTTTAACTGTTTATATATTTCATATTTCTATAAATAATTAATATTTATTTAAATAATGAAAAAGGTGTTGATCGTTTTTTACGAAAATATGCAAACCTCTTCAAAAAATTATGAAAACATTAAACAAAATATTTGTTTTTACAGGGCAGCTGTGACAAAGAAAGGCGATGGTTTCTATATACACTACCATAAAGATCCTAATAATTTCAATAAATTTTCAATTGCTCATTGTCTCCGGGTAAATCCTAAAAAGAGTGTAGCTATATTGTTTTGATAGTAGATGCACAAATACACAATATACAAAATATTCGACGTTCGACATTAAAAATTGTAGAAAAACTTTCAACATAACAGTATATTCCACAATGCTTGCGAATTTTCAACAAAGTTGTATGTCGAACAGATGTCCATAATATAAATATAAAATTTACGAGCCCTTCGATATCTACCTTGAAAGGCCATTTTTCTATCAAATGTCAAATATTTATAATAAATAAATATTTATAATAAATAACGCTGTGGAGACGTCCTTAACGTGAACTCATTTTTTCGAAACTTTTGACTGATTTGAAAAAAGTTGCGAAAATAGTATATTATGCAACAAGTGCGATAAACGGATTCGACTTACGAGTTTATTTGACACGAGCAGAGCGAGTGTTTAATAAACGAGTGACTTAACAAGTTTACCGAACGTGATGCATTCTATACTTTTTCTACGACCCTTAGTTTTTACTGACATGACCGTCAGAACTGACAAACGTCAAAATTCAAGGAGGGGGAAATAGCTCCAAAAACATCCGATTGCTCTCAAACCCGTGCAGCAAAATCCCGGAAATGTCCGAATGGGGAAACGAAAGTGACGCTTCCCGCACGCTAGATCGTTGTGTAATTAGGTATTTTACAGGCGGGAGTAGAAGAAATAAGCTAATAGTAGTCATAATCAAAACTTAAGTCGGTTTGATTCCTTTAAGGGAAAATGCACAACATTTTATCCTAATCTGTGTCTTCTATTTATTAGAATTCTAGGAAATTTTTATCAAATTCTTATTAGTAGTTATAGTTTTGGGTTAAGTTGAAGAATACCTCATACAAGTGTGAATTGAGGTGGACTTTTTTTTTCATGGAATTTAATATATTAATTACACATTACATTATTGGAATAAATAACAATTATTATTATTAATTGTAAAGATCGTTCAATATTTTTCGTAACTGTTAACGGTATCAGTATCTTCCTCTGCGCAAATTTAATACTGTCTTACTCCCACATTAATTGAAGTGATTTTACTCTCGTGTGTTGGTTACGACATAATTTTTTGATTACTTCTCCGGGTTCTCCTAGTCCATTTCAGGTATATACAGGGTGCATACAACGAGATGGCAAAGATTTTCACGATTTTCTATTTAGTTCCAAAGAAACGTTTTTCCAACGGTTGCAAAATCCCAAAAAAAGGAAAGCTTCGGTGAACATATTACTATTTACAAAACTTCTGGATCAATCTTTCGTCAGTTTCATCACAACCTGCCAAAGACAATGAGTCCGAAAGCAACCCCACACTTGCCACTGTTGTCCTTCCTTACATTCAAAACATCATTGACCACACATCAAAAGTTCTCAAAGGACATGAAAGAGCCTTAACCTTAACCAATCCTTCTACTAAGGAAAAGTCCGAGAATCTATAGAAATCTATAAGCAACTAAACAATCTTAACCGCGACTCAGGTCTTTACCTGTCACCAAAATGGGATTCAATCGTCCAAAACAATGTTCATCCCCTTCTTTTAGCTCCTCTCCCCTGAAACAATATATAAGCAGTTACAGAGTAGAATGCGAACTAGTTTCAGTTAAGGTCTGAAGAAGCCAACAGGATTACTGGCGAAACGTCAGCAAGTTCAATTCAACAATTGACCTAGGAGAAATACAGAAGGTTTTTAATTATCATTACAGTAGTCTGTTTAAGTTACTTTGGAAAATATATTTCGTTAACTAATTAGCAAGAAACCGTTGGAATTACGTATGAATGTGAAACGTAAACTGTAAACAGAAAAAAGAAAATATAAACAGAAATAACTGAACTTTTTAATAAGAAATTTTTTGGATTGCTACAAAATATAGATGCTATATAAATAATATATAGCTACATACGCACTTTCTATCTAAAATTGCATAAAGTGATAAAACACACACTTAACAATTAAACCTTAATCCTATATTATGCAAGTCTGTTTGATAAACACCACTTTAGTTACTAGTTTGATTTGACACGAGAGCAGCGAATGA